TAAAAACAAGTTTAAAACCAAGATCCAATTTTCAGGTTTTACCCCCTAATAATAAAAATAAAAATAAAACTAGTTCACCCCCCATGGGTACCTCTTCTGTTTTTATTAGGGTCCGTGTATTGAAATCGAACAAAATACTTTCGTTAATTAAGGTTTTTGATTTAAAACCAAGGGACAGCTTCGAAATCCAATTTTTAGTAATATCTTAATTGGATTTTAAAAAGGATTTTGATCGATTTTGAAATCGGAAAAAAATAGTCTTTTTAAGTCAGGTTTTAAACTTAATATTAGGGTCCAGTTTCTCCCCCGAATATTAAATACCCCCTAATTAATAGTAAAAACTACCTCTAGGTTTTCTTATTTGGGGGACGTTTAGTATTAGGGTGAAGGGATTAGGGTGCCAGGGTTTGACTCATAGCCATATGTGCTCCGGATCCATCCAGGATGATGTTGATATTTTCCACGTGTGTTCCCCACATTTACCGAGGCCGTCGACCAAACTGATCTGGGGTCTGCAACTCGCTTGGACACAATGATGGACAGGCCCACCATTTTCAAATTATCCCAAGAGCTCCAATCAACTCATTTGCATCTATTTAGTTTTCTTATGTTTTCTTCAACCAACTAGTAGGAATCTGGTCACTTCACGACTCCATTTTGTGACCATTATCCAGGTATCCCATGCTTTTATCCGGCGATCCTCCGATTTATTGTTAGTTATTTCATGCTATTTCCCCATACAGCACCCCGAATGAACCCTCTATCTCACCCAAAAAATTATTGAATCATTTTTTTCCCTATCATCAATGCCCATATTTCCCGGGATATACCCATGAAATCCATTGAAATCCCCCATTTTCGTGGGTCATATCCCCTGAAAAAAGGGTGCCCCCGATGGCACCCATGGTGATGGCCGCCTTCTTCACCTGATCCGTGTGGAGCCATCGAAGCAAGGCCTTCGAACATCTCTGCGGAAGCCTTGCCAAATGGGATGCTTATCTAACTTTCTCAATGGGAGCTGGCTAGTGGGGTAAATAAATAAATAAATATATATATATATGGGTTATATATATATATACAAGATAGGCAAATATATAACTATCAGTTTTTATTTTCGAGATAATATCATGTTGGGGCTATTGTTGTTTGACTAACTCGTTGGTAGTTGTTATTCGTAGCTATAAGTTGGTTCCAACTATTAGTGATAAGCGTGTCATGGGTTCTAGATGACCATGGTTGGGAAAACCAATATAGTTAGTTCTGTGGGAAAAGCAACGAAATATGTAACTGCTGATCCTTGGGAACAAATCCCTGGGAAGTCTTTAAGCTCATGATACTGGACTCAAAAATGATTGGGATGTAATTGTTGAGATATATCTAAATGGGAGGGATAATAAAACCAAGTGGTTTCACGAGGCGATGAGTCAAGTTGGGTAAATGATAAATAATGAGGGTTGTAAACATATTGACCTGTCAACAATTGGCCAAGTTTTAGGGAAAAGAACAGTGGGAGCATGATGCAGTCCAGCTGGTGCAGGGTTTCATTTGCCCAAGGCCGATGTTGGACTGGAAAATGTAAAGATGGTGACATCACAAAATATCAAGAGTTAAACCAAATGATGCAACATGGATATGAATGGTTTACTAAAAAATCGCTCGATTCTGTAGTTCCAGGCCTGAAATTGACTTCTACCTACTTGCATTTCTGTTGTGGGACTTCCGGACGACTGGGTATTCCTGCTTCTGTAGGCCCAGGCGTTTTAGGTCCTGTCCCATGACCAGCGACCAGATTGCCTGAGGCAGACACGTGATTCCCAAGGTCTGAAATATTGACCCGGCCATCCCAGACCCATATCCCTTGCATCATCCGTGTGTATATGTGTATATCTTTATCGACTCGGTTTTGAACCACTCAAGGGATCCCTGCAGTCAGCCTGCTAATGCACACTTCTCTATGATGTGGGTCATCCTTGCACACAAAAACTCACTTATCATCTATTCACCTTCCTGTAAACTAACATGTGGAAAGCCCACCATTTGTAGATTGTTTTCCTAAGGAAATCATAAGTTTCCACATCTATCTTAGTTTACCCCAGAGTACATATTATTGTATGGGCCAACCGATAATATGTGCTGACCCGAACCGGTGGATGCCCACTCCCCCAATTGATGGTCTATTTTTGTCAGGAAAAGCAGTCATAGAGCCTGTATTATCCTCAAAAAAATGGAACAGCAAGATCAGTAACATCTCACTGCAATAGTTTTCCACATATTTCCACATTATTTTTCTATTGTTTTGCACTTGGCTGCTACAACCCATAACCATCCCATGGACCCACCCGCGGCCTCCGCCAAGCCATGCTTGGCCAAGGCAGCCTCTGCCCCGCGAAGGCACAAAACGTCGTTGAGAACCTCCATGCCGCGACAGAGCGCCAGTGACACCTGGGAGATTTTCATGGAGACTTCCAAAATGTTTTCAGGTCATGGATATCCATTGATGCTTGCATTTATGTATGAATATATATGTATATATAATTATCTATATAAGCATATAATATTATATATATAATGTCAAGTTAGGATTAATAAACCCCGCGGTATTAATCAACCCCCTCTGCCCCCAAAAAAATGTAATTTAAAAACAGGTGGTCCCCCAGGATTAAAAAACCGTTTGGCTGGGACATGATTAATCAACCACCAGTGCTGAAATCCAATTTTTTTATCCAAAAGTTTCAATTGGTTTCCTTTTGGTTTCCTTTTGCTATATTTAAGTTGAAACCGCGTGAACACCAGAACCCATCACTGCTGATCATTGAAAATGTGAAAAAACAACTATTCCCCAAATGATCGATTTCTAATTTCATTCTTTATAAAAATCATCAGTTTGGATAGCTCCCAAAGGGTACCCCCCATGAGCCCATGTCCCCCATTAATAATAATCAGGGTTTGCCCCTTATTAATCAACCCCCATGTCCCTAATGTTTTTTCTTTGGTTCAGGGGCCGTTTATTTAGGGTGGATTCAGGAAAGACCTTGCAAGGTATACCCTGACCTATAGGGGGGGGTTGATTAATCCGACGTTGGCATTAATATGGCTATACCATGTTTTACCCCAAGTTGTGGGGTCGACGGTTGCTGTGTTCAACCACCGGTCTCAGCCACGAAACTTATGTTTTATAGTTGAGCTGCAAAGATACACTATATAGTAAGCTTTGAGCACCAATGCACTGATAGGAAAGGGATCTGTCTGACACCAGGAAACCCCAACTCCATCAACTTTTTCAGTAGGGTTTCAACCCATCACTGGGCACTATTAGACCAGAAGGAGCAGTGCCCAAAAATCTTGTGTGAGGCGCTTCTTATGCTTATGTACACGGATCACTAAGCCTGGTGGTAGAACAGTGAGGTATATCTTTTGGCGGGTTCTTGTCCTCAGCCAATGGATTCTAACCATCAACCAACAACGGTCGGTCGTCCCGTAAACGCGCGCCGACAGGCTTTACCATATATGATCAACATAATCTCAATGAGCAACATCTTCTATCAGCGTAACATCAGACCCATGTTCGTGTAGCGTAACCACATGTGCTAGTGTAGCAACATGTTAGATGCCAAGTAACGTTATTAGCCCCACCCCACCCCTCCCCACCCCAACCCCGCGAAACACTGACGTACTTGGTAAAAAAAAACGTGCTGTGCCTATGGGAAGTGCGTTCAAAAAAATGCGCGTTTTCAGGTCGACCGCGCCACCAACAAAGGTCAACTGGCACGTCCCAAAAATGCAAAGATACCTGCCCGATGTTTTGGGGTTACAATACATGTCTATTTGGGTTGTTTGGGAGTTGGAGCTCCACTCTCTTGGGACATCATTCTCCCCCATGTTTCCTCACTATTCATGGCCATATCCTGGGGGTGAAATACCCATGTTCAGAAGCTCTTGGGACCCCGTTACAAGCATCAGTAGCTGAGTCAACTCGGGCCTTCTCTTCCGCAGCACTTTTGGAGTCCCGCAGGCGTTCCATGCTTTGACGCCACCAGTTCTAGGCGTCCAGCAGGAATACGGTGCGAGGAAAAGCTTAAGGGACCTCAAAGGTGCAACCAACCTGACTACGATATACTACAATATATCTAGTATTACTCATCACCGCCAATCATATTCATATATTATGACATATTATGACTATATTCTATCAGTAACTTACCAATAACCCAATAACTATAATGCATTATATAACTCAGAATGACTGATGTCCAAAAACAAAAAAAACACCTCGAAACTCATGGGCAATGGGGCTTCAGATTGGCAGAAGACTAACGGATTCCACTTGGCCTCGAAGACGGCCTCCTTGGCCAAGTCTCTGGCATCAACAGCTCTTCTGCAGTGACTTCGGGCATGGAAACCTCCTAGCAGCGATGGTGTTTGATCCCTGGAGTCCATTGGGGTCAAAAGTACCAACGTCCCGTAGATGATTCTATAGCAATGCCCACAGATGTATTCAACATAAACTACCCACAGATGTATTCAACATAAACTACATCTCCCACTCACAGCGTATCACACCGTAATTGATCCGTAATGGGGTTATAGATATCCCAAAAACCACCTATCAACTTATCAACGCCCAATATTAAAATGAAACATCTCAGATCTGCGGTCCTCCCCAAGGGCAGATTGGAACTCCAGCTTCATGCGCAGCTGCCACCAGGACGATCCGAGCGCTAGCGCCTGGTGCACCGGTAGCTGGGAGCTCCACCGTCTCCCATGATGTGTTGAAACATCCCCAGTTTTAGTGATTTTTTGGATAAAGTTAAAAAATGTGGGGATCTAAAAATCCAGTTTTAGTCAAAGATGTCAAAGCATCCCCATCATCATCATCATCATCATCATCATCATCCTCGTCGTCATCGTCATCGTCATCGCCATCGTCATCGTCATCATCATCATCATCATCATCCTCATCATCCTCATCATCCTCATCGTCATCGTCATCGTCATCGTCATCATCATCATCATCATCATCATCAGCATCATCATCATCATCATCATCATCATCATCATCATCATCATTGTCATCGTCATCGTCATCGTCGTCATCATCATCATCATCATCATCATCATCATCATCCTCATCCTCATCATCATCGTCATCGCCAACGTCATCGTCATCATCATCATCATCACCTTCATCATCATCACCATCATCCTCATCATCCTCATCGTCATCGTCATCGTCATCCTCATCATCATCATCATCATCATCATCATCATCATCCTCATCATCATTGTCATCGTCATCGTCATCGTCATCATCACCATCATCATCATCCTCATCCTCATCCTCATCGTCATCGTCATCGTCATCGCCATCCTCATCCTCATCCTCATCCTCATCCTCATCGTCATCGTCATCCTCATCATCATCATCATCATCATCATCATCATCCTCATCATCATCCTCATCGTCATCGTCATCGTCATCGCCATCCTCATCCTCATCCTCATCCTCATCGTCATCGTCATCGTCATCGTCATCATCATCATCATCATCATCGTCAAATATCCAAACTCATAGAATATTTTTCAACGAAGACCCATGAAGCCCCCTTTTTTTGCAATCCGCTAACCATTAAAGGTCTCCATTTTTTTCTTGGTGATATCCTGCCTCAGTACGTCTCTGATGGTGGGGAAACCCCTGCCCTCTGCCGGTCGAGCCACACTGTCCATATCTGTGCTCACCATGGACATCAGCACCTGCATGTGAGGTCGAGCACGTTCCTTGGCAGATGCTGACACCTTTTTCGGCAAAGGGACGAATCATCAAACCACATCCCACAACATCGCAGCCAGGGCTCCACCCATTCAGCGCTGGCCGGCAGCGTTCCAATGCCTTCCACCAGAGATACGCCCACATCATCCTGGAGCCCCGGGTGAATGGAACGGGTCCACAGGGCTCCGGGGTGTGCCAGGAACTGCCGAACTGCCCATGGCACGGCATGATGGGCTAGTGGCTACACCGCAAAGGTGGGTCTTGGCGAAAAAACAAATCCAGACCGAGACCAACTTCAACTCACATTCAATATACTATTCAAAGATATTCAAAGGTTATTTTGGAAGACAAGATTCGAGATGCACCACTTATTGATGTGCAATTATTTTGACCATGCGGACCCTATCAAGTGACAGCAAACACTGATCATCCGGTGCCTTCAAGAAGTTCATTGAAACCTCAGCAAAACCAAAACTTTCCTCTCGCATTGGCCCCTGGTTGCCACAGATTGACACATATTGATCAAATATTGATTATATGATTAATTAAACCTGGTGGAACAGAAATAGAAACTGCTGTGGCCTGGTCAAACTCACTTTGATACTAGTGGTTAAAATACCCCTACTCGTAGTGAACGTGGCACAGTTGGCGCCTGGTTCTGAACATTATTTGCACGCACAATTTAGCACCAAATCCAACAAATGCCGCAGCAATCGTGAGAAAATGCCGTTTCGGATCTCTGGTTTTGGGGCTCTGCGGCTCTGCCATGCTGACTCTCAATGGTCGGGGCTCGGCCCAGGCACATCGTTGGACTCATCTTCACCAAATCTGGCTTCCACCAGCGACAGCAGCGAGCACACCTTGGGGAAGTGGGAAGTCTTCACATCAGCTTGTGGCTTTCATTTAGGGTTCAATGAAAAGAATACTGACATGGGGAACTCCCAGGTGAATATCTGACCCAAGTGCTTTGAAGCCAGCGAAACAAACTTCGGTGATATTTTAGGGTTGAATCATGAGGTATCCCGGAGATTACAGGTCAAAATTGGGAACCCAAAAAATGTCACAAATCGATGGTTTGTAACAAGAAATGACCACAACGTTTGGGTCCCCCAGCCTTAAACTTTACCAGAACTTTGATGCATTTTCATCTGGGATCATTTGGGTTTGTAAAAGAGACTACCCCGAAATTTACCGAAAATTGATGCTTTATCTGGTTATATAATGTTATATATATATATGTATATAATTATTAATATATATTATATGAGGTTTATCATCAGCTACACAATAAAATAGCAATTTTGGGAGATTCCCTGCTTTCAGACACGCCCATTTGCGGTCACCATCAGCTGTCACATCACTCCCCCACCATGCTCCGCCATGCCACACTCTGCACTAAGCTCTTGCTGGTTTCGAAGGCCGCAACCAATTCCTTGCAACGCGGTGTGTTTAGCAAGTGAAGATATTATCAACAAAGAAAAGTATTGGTGATTCGCCTTCAGGGTGAGTTAACCCATGAAAATGCTGGTCTGACTGCGAAAATAAATGAAAATAAAGTTTGACGATATCTTTGGTGTACCAAACAAATGTTGAGCGGGTTGGTTGCCCCGGGAACGTTGTCCAAGAAACCAAAACCATTTACCATCCAAATATAGGAGTGTGTACCCCAGAAAATAAAAGAAAAATCAACGCTCAGAATCGCCAGAAAATTGGTTTGGGGCCCAGTCGATTTGAACTTTGGGATTTCCACCCTGTGCATCCCAGGAGCCAAGGGTGAGGTGATGGGGTTGGAAGTGATTTTGCCACAGATCAAGGTGCACACCTCACGAAGGCTAAAAGGGAAGACATTGTTTTCTGGACATGCAGAATCCACTGCTGATCCACAGATAATGATGATGTCCAAAAGCCGCCCACTGATCTTCAAATGATTTTTCACTCAGTATTCCCTCATCATATACTCATCATTTGGGCATGGTTCAACACTGTTGACCCAAAAAGATCCAAAAAGTCGATGATCTAGTGACTAGTGCAAAAGCCACCCATCTGTGGTCGATTGGTTCCGACTTGTTTGAGTCATAGCCACACTTCCTATATCACCTTTTCGGAGAGTGTTCGCCAATCCAAGTGTTGTATGGGCCCTCAACATGGGGCTCGTCCAAGGTTGACCTCGCCCTCTGGGGATCTAACATTCCCATGGAAAACCCACCCCATTTTTCGAGTAAATCATCCACAAACCAGCCATTTTCCATAGTAAACTCTGAGATTGCCAGAGGATAATATTGCCAAAAAAACATTAAAAGAAAAAAACCACAATTCATCAGTGTTTTCCATTGTTTTCCCATTTTGATGCCATGTAGTGCCGGGATTTCCCAGCCATCCAATCATCGCCGCCTTCAACATCAGCTCAAAGCCCAGCAAGGGATAGATGGGAGCCCACGTGGCCACCGCATCATGCAGCAAGGAGCCTACCCCCGGCTTGGCGGCTTAGCGCTTGAGTGATTTTCTTCGATGTTCTCAATGAAAACTCCATTTATACAGTATCTAATTACTGTATAGGTATCTAATTATATAGGTATCTATCTATATGTATATATTATAGAATTCTATAATTCTATAGATATCTATTCACCGCAAGGCGAGCATGTAGTCAGATTTTTGCCGACTGGTGAAACACATCTGAGCAGCACCCCCAACTCACTGCCATTTAGCACTGAGGAAGGACTACCGCATGACAGTCTTTACAAATCTGGATGGGGACAAGCTCAGCTTGGAGCTTTGCAAGCTGAGTGCTAAGACCTCCTTGGCAGCCACCGTATCTGGATAGTCAGGTCCCAGAGTTCGTGCCCTGGCTGCCGCCAATCTGTGGCACAGCTCCGCAGTTTCACCTGGCACCTCCAGCTCTTTGTTGATCATGTCGCCCACTAGGTTCTCGATTCTCTGGAGGGACCTCTGGGTACTTGGGTGTTGAGGACCCAGAAGCCTCTCCCTGGCTTCTAAAGCATGTCTTTGCAGCCAAGGCTTCACTCAAATCACCTCTGCCATCCAGTGCGACTGCCAAATTGCTGACGGACTGCGAAAGTCACAGGATGCTCGGGTCCTAACGTCTTTTTCCTGGCCTCTAAAGCCCTGCGGTGCAATTCCACTGCTTCATTGCGATTGCCTATGGATGGTACGGCGATAGCCAAGTTCGTGATCGTGCATAAAGTATCCCCATGACTAGGGGCCAAGCACCTTTCCTGGGAGGCTAAAACCTGACGATACAACTCAACAGCTTCAGCATGGTGATTTCCAATGCTATGAATTGTGAGAGCCAAGTCGCTCATACATGACATTGCGTCCTGGTGCTCAGGACCAAAAGTTTTCGCCCTGGATGTCACTAGTTCGCCCCACAGCTGTACAATTTCACCTGCGGCCTTCTTCTGCTTATTGATCATGTCATGTCGTGCAGTATTGACATAATTCGCTGGAGGGACTTCAAAGTACTTGGGTGTTGCGGACCCAGAAGCCTCTCCCTGGCCTCTAACGCACGCCTTTGCAGTGCCAGGGCTTCACTCAAATCACCTCTGTCCTGCAGTGCAAGCGCCAAGTGGCTGACAGACTGCAAAGTCAGGACCCAACGTCTTTTTTCTTGACCTCCAAAGCCCTGCTGTGCAATTCTATTGCTTCGCTGAGATTGCCCAGTGTTCGTAAAACAATAGCCAAGTTGGTGATTGTGTGCAAAGTATCAGAATGGCTAGGACCAAAGTTCTTTTCTTCGAAGCTAAAACCTGGCGATGCAATCCAATTTTTTCAGCACTGTACGTGGGTAGGGCAACGGCCAACTCACCCATAGACCAGACCGTGGATTCGTGCTCAGGACCAAGAGTTTTCAACCTAATATCAAGGACTTGTCGATGCAACTTCTCAGCTTCGCAAAAGTTGCCAACATGGACGAAGATTGCGCCCAGAATGCCCTGGCATGTCAAAGCTTCAGTGCTCTCAGGACCATAGGTTGATACACAAACTGCGACCGCTTCTTGCACCAAAGGCAGGGCATCCTGATAGAAGCCGCGCAGTCGTAGTGCCTCAGCGAGCCTCAACTTGGCATCCAGATCTGCAGGTGCGAAGCGCACACGTTGGCGCAAGGTGTGCAGCAATTGTCCACGCGCATGTTGGACACCATCTTCACCACGCAACAGCGAGGAGGCTTGCCCGCCTCGTTCAAGAGTTTGTTCGCAAGATTCCTGCCTGGTTCCTTCCCTGCTGCCTCCATTTTTGGAGTGGCTCTGAATGGAGACATCGAAGGCATTCGCAGGATCGATGAGGATTGGGACACAAAAGGCCTCTATCTACATGTGCTGGACCTTTCTGTGGATCATCGCTGTCTCTGTCTCTCTGCATCATGTTGCGGAAATTATTGTCTAGCAGCTGCTCACGACTTTCCCACTGGTCTGGGACTGAATAGATCCCCTTGCCCCACCAGGCATTGGCGTTGGGCCCTTCGGTTCTCAACGATGCCCAAATTTCAGCTACTTCCTTGCTGGGATGGGTAGGCAAGTTTGCTGGTGTAATGGAAAAAAACTTGCCCACTCTGACCTGAGGTTAGGTCAATGGCATCGCGCCACACTTGGATCTCAGTAGGCTTATATATCCATGTCCAATCGGCAGGACGACCACAATCTTCATAGTCAGAATTACAAAATTCTCCTCCTTCGCGGTAGTGCTTTTCAAAGTACTCCCTTAAGTTCTTGGTCCTTGTGGTGTTGTCACTATTCTGTGCTGTCAGCACCGCATCTTTTGGCCCAAAAAGGAAATCCAAAAACTGCTTGACACTGATCTGGGCCTGTTGGTTCTGCAGCAGGGCATGTGCTTCCTGTTCTGTGCCACCAATGATCTGCACAAAGCGGAGCCACCATTCACGGTCCAGGAAACCATCCCCTACTTGGCCTTGCAACTGCCTTTCCACTGTGCAGCGTAAGTCCTCCATGCCTTCGGGGACGGCTGCAGGTCATGTGATCCTTTTTGCGCATGGCTCGGGAGGAAGTGAAACCCAGCAGGTCTGTTGAATTGCTTGGAATGTTCTGTCACTTGCACCTGCAAATGACTCATATCCTTAGAAAAGCAGGACTTACAACATCTTACAAGCAGCAAACTAACTGGGGTGGCGGTGGTGGTGGTGGTTGTGCTTAGGAGGGGCAAATAGCAAATGTGTTTAGCGTCTCTGTGCGCTTGCAGAGTTTGAATGAATGACACCCCTCCGAACAGCAACGTTTCTGCATTCCACCGCTGTCAAGGCTAGAGAGCTTGTTGTATCAGATTGGTGTATTTTTTTGGCATGTCCACCTCAACAAAAGCTTCAGAACTGCGTCTAGAACTGTGACATTTTTCTTGCACTCGACTTGAACTTTCGACATTTCCCCGTAAGTCTGAACTCCAACATCGGTCAACATCGGTTCTTGGAAATTCCTGGAAGTACCCAGGAACAATTTCCCCCTTATGATCCCTGAAAATATCAGAGACTGCCGACAGGATCGGCCTGGGAAGGTGGCCTCAAAGGCTGCAAAGGCGTCCATGGTCTCTTCGCCTTGGATGTTTTTTCGGGATAGGACCAACATGGACCAACAGTATATGGAATATATGGAATATATGGAATATGATCCCCAAAAAATGGAATAATAGTTGCCCAATTCTCATCATATTCCATATCATATTATTCCACTGATCCCCTATGGAATATGATGAGAATTGGGCAACGATATGCAGTTTTTTTTATTTTTTGGACCTTCCAAGTAGATCAACAACATGTCTTCCGGGATGATTACTGTACAGTATCATAAAGTCATATAAAGTCATATAAAGTCATATAAAGTCATATAAAGTCAACAAGTTCTCATCATATGTTTGGATAATGTGTACATCATACTGCACTTTCCCGTTCGTTTCCAGCTGGGGTTCCAAAGATCTTGGTGCTCAGAGCGTGCCATCCTGGGCAACGGGACATGATGGGTCAAGTTTATCAACCCACCAATTTGTAGATGGTTTTGATACACCAAATAAATGGGAAGTTATGGGAAGTTTATAATGAATTATATGACATTATATGGTCTTGATACTAAATGACCAGCGATTTGTGGATCCATTGGCTCAATATGGCTCAATTACTTGACCCATAGCCACATTACTTCAACAACTGCATCTCAAATCCACTACAGGCCCAGCTTGACCCATGGGCCCAATGATATTTTGCACATCTTTTAATGGCCAAGTATCAGGGTATTCAAATGTATTCAATACATTTTCATGCACACCTACGTCATGTTGTTGAAAAATGATCTGTATCCCACTACATCCCCATCAAGTCGTTGGTTTTTATATCCCATGTCTGCTGACTAAATCATCAAATCTGCCATTTTGAGACCGAATCAGTGAACAATTGGACATCAGATGGCAATTCTAAACTGAGACATGTATCTTTAAACAGAGCAGTCAAGAAATGTAACGTATAGTAACCCAAAAAAAGATAGAAAAGTAAATCATCACTACGTATTTTTCTAGTAAGATTTTACTTTTCTATCTGTTTGGGGATGTGGGCAGCCCAATGCCATAAACCTACCATGACTGGGGTAACGGTTGAAATCCCACCTATAAAAATGGACGATCTTCCCATGGGCCAAGCATCTTTTAGGCTCACTTGGCCCACTGCGCTCTTTTTGGTCCAAGGTTTTGACCACGGAAGCGCACCTGGCAGAGTGAAACACCCAGCAGAAAATGATAAAATGGTGGTTTTTAAGATGGTTTCCACAAGCAATTTTGTGGCTTGAAGCAACTACAAACATGATCAAATATGTAGCCAATGTAGCAGCGACATCAATGTGGAAGGTTGAGCATTGAGCAACAAGAATCAATTTGGAGGGCTGAGCAACAAAAATGTGTGATTTTGAGCAAATGGAGAATATAAAACGGGGCGATTTGAGCCACCAAACGGGAGGTGTTACTGGCGCAAGGTGCAGGTTTCCAAACGAAGAAAGGGTTCAGGAAAAAAATAGATGATTAACTGACTTCATTTTGGCTCCTGGATGCTGACAGTATGTGTGTGTGATTATCCTGGCTTAAAAGATGTTATATAATTATAATTGACCATGAATGGCATGAGGCTCAATATCATCTTAGAAACTCGCAGCTATTCCCGTCCGCGGCTTGTCACGCACCGAGTTCCCCGGCTGAGTTAAGATGCGGTTTGAAAAAGGACAGCGGCACCTCAGGTCCAAATGAGAAGCCTTGGCTTCAAACACTGGAGCTTCAATGACTTTGGAAGGGTTTCTTAGGTCTTTTTTCTATCCCCAGTCGTCACCATGGTTGTTTTTAGTTTCTCAAATGCTCCATGACTTAAATTCTTTGGGGTACTCCCATGACTTAGGAAATCTCCCAGATGTCGCCCATGTCACCGGATTTCGTTCCTTCCAAGCTGCTCCAGTGGACCGAAGCGCCCGAAGTTCGGCACGGGCGCTGGGCCTCGCAGAAGTCGCTGACCTTGGGCCTTGGGCCTTGGGCCTTGAAGGTGGTTTCGCAATATCTGGGGTTTATGATAGATATATCTGGGTAAATTATAACGACCTCACTGCGACCTCACTGGAATCATGGTTAGTAAGGGAAAATATCCCCAAATAGCCTTAATTCAGGTTAGTGAAATATTATAATTTACCCAGATATATCTATAGCATTCTATAGCTACTAGTAGGCTACTATGGTTAAACCAACTTGCAACTGGGGGGCACCACCCGGGCTATCAAAACATATCAGCCCAAGGCCATCAGCCCTTCCCGTCTCGTTCATATGGCCTTGCAAGGCAGCTCCAGGTCTGAGAGCTGCAGCAACCACCTGGCAGAGCGGTCAGGCACTTTTGGGGACGAATCTGGTGGGATATGGATCATTGGCTTTCTCAAGGTTCCTTTCGGAAATCAGGTATCCAGGGTATCCAAAAATATCATGGTTGATCATCATTTTTCTGTGAAGATTTTCGAGTACGAGTTTGAGTCTCCCAAACCCACATTGCCCTCCAGAAAAGTGACATAGATATGGAAAACTGGAAAAAACCTTGTTTCCCATGAGGAAGGTGATCTACAACTGGTTTGTTTTTTCCATATCTGTTCGTATGTTTCCTGAAGGGTGGCCAATCATGTTTTTGAAGTTAAATCCCTTCTGGTAATACCCCAGATTTCTTGATACCCTAAAAACATATGGTCTATCCCATATCACAACTTCCATACATCTCCTATGTTTTATGGGATAAACCACATGAGTTTACTTCTACTCCACCTCAACAATATGACATAAAAATCCTTGGATTGCCAATACCCTCTGGTAAACTAACATAGCTATGGAAAATCACCATTTTTCATGGGTAAATTGGTAAATCCCATCCCAAAAATCCCATGGAAATTCCGGTCGCCCTGGTCACCTGTGGAGCTGACTGCATGGAACTCCGCACCAGGCTCAACCAGAGGCGCCGCGCCGGCGAGCTCTGCGAGGTGATGTGGCGCAGGTTGAAGTCGGAGTCCTGCCATCGGCTTGGGAAAAACACCGATTTCAAATGGCCAAAATGGCCAAGTGCCTTGGGAAAAACACTGGAAAACCTAAGTGATAAACTGATGGTATATCGGTATATCATGGTATATCTGGTGACTTTTCCCGAATTGGAATGAACTTGAAGCGCTGTCCCTCTGAAAACTATCAAGATGTCCCTAGTAAGTTGGTGCGTTCACCAAGGTATACACTAGGAAATCCATGGAAATCCCTAGCTGTTGATGGCTTACTGTCCAATTAGTAACTAGGATGTGCATCATTCCAGGGAAAGCCATGTCATCCATGTCCCAACAGACAGCCGCAACGCTGCGTCTCCATCCAACGAAGCGCATGGCTAAGGGCAGAGAGCTGCAAGCGCTCGATCGAGAGCCAAACCTGCAGCCCGATTTGCTGGGTTGAATTTGCAGAATTGGATGGAAGTTTGATGAATCTAGTGGGCTTCAAAACAAAATGGATGGAAATATGAAGTCTTGGGTTGAAGTTTTGCAAGTTTGATGGGGTGAATTGGATAGAAATTTGCAAAAAAAAACTTTGTGCCCCTCAACACCTGGCGAATAGGAATCATCCCTGTGATAAAAGGTAGTCCCACAAAACCATCGAAAACAACCAAGGAGGATTGTCGGCTGAAACCCACAGTACAATTGGAGCGCTGTTCACTACTGGAAAGCACAGCTACATGTCATCTAGCACACCACTTGTTGCCAATGCAGAAGCTATGTATGCTACGTTTGGTCTTGAAACATTCAGACCATCATCGTCGTCTTCTTCTTCCTCCTCCTCATCATCATCACCATCACCATCGTCATCGTCATCGTCATCGCCATCGTCATCCTCATCCTCATCATCATCATCATCATCATCATCCTCATCATCATCATCATCATCATCATCCTCATCATCATCATCATCATCATCATCATCATCAATACTGATGTGTATATATATATACCTCTGTATATATATAAATACCTCTGTGCATATATATATATATACCTCTGTATATATATATATATACATATGTGTATGTGTAAATGATATCCACATCCACATCATCCACATTCTGAGAAAACGTTGGCACGTCTCCATCATTTTGTTCTGCTTGGTTTACTCCCCCATTTTTTCTGGTGAACCCCTCAGGTTGGCGGCGAAAGGAACCGACTTGCGAAGGCTGCCAAAACGCATCTCTTGCATCGCCAGCTTCCTCTGGGCGCAACGCCGACTCGATGCAACGAAGAGTGGAAGTTCACCAGAAAAAAATCATGGGAATATATGTAATCTAACGGGATTTAGGGGGATTTACTGGTGATTTAATGGATTTCTTTTTATGGGTAAACCCTCTGGTAATCAAACGTGGCTAGCTGAGAACCTCCCCCCTAAATGGATGTTTCTTGGGAAAACCATGGAACTCAATTGGGATTTGAACCAGCGAAGCAGCAACAAAGATCAGGCTTCAACAACCTTATGGGCTGATACCAAGTGCTCCACTGATGTGCCATCATTGATGGGTCATGAATTTTACCAACAAACACTCTGGTGATGGGTGGCAAACCAACAAACACTACAAATGTACCCTCTGGGAATCAAACATGGAAATTGAAAATCCGCTATAAATGCTGTTTGAATGGGAAAATCCTCTATAAATGATAAATGGTTGATTTTCCAGCCCGCCACGGTTGATTACCTACCAACCCAGCAATAGTGCACATGGATTGGCACGCCAACCATCCCAGATCATTTTGATGGAGTTTCAAAAAGGGGTCTGGTTGTGGTTTTGCTTTCATGTGGCATGTTATTCTAGATTCAAACTAATTGTTGATAGAACCAAAACTATCCCAGATCGGGGCGGATGGCTTTCGAATTGCTGCTAAAATGGACCAGTTCATCAGCCATCCCACGCCCAACCTTGAAGATTAGATGACATAGCAAGTTGAGTGGGTTTATCCCAATTTTTTGAAGTGCACATTCCCATATGTTTGTGGGTTTTATGTGCCATGGTCATAACGTGCCATAAAGGGTTCATCCATCCCATATTGGGAATCCAAACATAACGGCTAAATCCCTATGGAATGATGACCAAGGTGCACGTGCAGGTGCAAGCCGCTGGCATCGGCGCCCCACTGGTGTAGCGTCATCATGGCCAATGCCTCAACAGCCTGGGACATGCCGTAGGGGAAAGCTGATAGGTCAAGGAACAGAAGGTGGGTTAGAAATGGTGGAGCAGCTGCAATTTTTACCTGCCAGTTGATGTCATGTGAATTTAAGATATCTGCAAATATAATATGGAGAAAAAAAGACTGTGGATATCCATGAAAGGGTGAACTTTCTATTCAAGATATCCCTACATGTTCAACGTTTACCGCATCTTAAATCCTAATCCACCAACGTTTTTTAAACTTATTTCAGCTACATTTTGCAAGTTTCTTAAAATGGGGGGATTCCCAGTCGTTAACATGGTTGTTTCAATACTCAGCCATGGTCTAATTTTGGATGATTTGGGGTACCCCCATGACTTTGGAAACCTCTACAGTATGGTTTTATGACTTTATAACTCATCCAACCATGGTGTATTATGGTTTATGATGGTAGATATATCGACAGTATATATATATCCCATGGGGGACTTAAAGATATACTTAAAGAATCTTCCAGGCCTCTGGTCATTTCCCACCCCCAGCCATTAAGCCTTGCGCCTTCCCAAAGCCTTCCACCTCCCGCAATGCCACGCGCAGGTCCCGCAGCCGCTGGGCCAAGACTTCCAACCCCACGCCCGGCTGCACGCAGCGCGCCACGCAGCTGCTGCTGCGTTTCTGCAAAATCCTAGGGATCCACCCAAAAATCATCGGGATATCCCGACATCCCCTGAACATACAAAACACTATGGAAAATCACCATTTTTAATGGGTCAATCAACTATAAATGGCCAGTTTCAATAGCTATGCTAGTTTACCCTGATCTCCCTGGTGGTTGATGGTTTCCTGTGGGGACGTTTGTGTTGAAAGATTTGTGGTTGGGTGAAAACTCTGCAATTGTTTATGTCTGGGGAGATGTTCAGGTGCTGGATCAGCACCAAAACATCGGACAATCGACCTATGAAGATGGTGGAAAATGGTCGAAAATGCTGGTCATGTGTAAGCTAAGTGTAGGTTGCCATTTTATCACTTGAACCCAACGTAGACATCATTGATATACACTTTCTTACCATATCTGTATATATATATATATGTATATATGTGTAGATCGTAAGACCTAAAAATGTAGAAAAATCAGAAGTACCACTATTTGAGTTTGTAAAATATCTGGCATTCCTAGTTCCCTTTATATATCGATGCTACTTTTCCCAGCCATCCCAGGCGCTGAGCCAAGGATGGGATGCGTTGCTTCTCTTGCAACTCGTGGACTGAGAGTTGGAGAAATTCCTGCGGCAAGAGGATATGATGGGAGCGATGGGTCATCATATCTATTGTATATTAAAGAGACTTTTTTGTATTAAGATGGAAATTTATGGATCGTTATCTACTATAGATACTTTATATTTTTTAAAAGTATAATTAAGGATGGAACATATTGATAGTGACTTAAAGTATATACCCTGTATTATAGATAGTATTCTAGATACCCTATATTATAGTAGATACCCTTACTTTATATAATATATATATATATACAGAATAATCATAGTATAATGATAGGTTATATCCTCCCGCATAGCCTATGATTGATAGATTGACAGTGATGTTCCACAATCTACCTGCGGCACAGTCGATCATGGGATCCAGCTACTAGTGATTTGATCCCCAGCTGTTGGATATTCCACCAGATAATGTTGGATATACATATGTATAATATATATATATACATACATACATAGATAGATAGTTGATGTTAGTGATATAATAGACTTGCATATTATAGTGTATGTATAATGTCTTGCTTGCTGGTTCCGACATGTTCGGACCTTCTGTGACTGGCCCGCGAAGGCAGGATCCTGTCCACTTGCCGTGCCTGGCGATGGGATTCGGCCTCCAACTGGTCGTTGAGGTTGTAAGTGACAAGTGATATGATTTCTCATTATGATTCTTTATTGTTAGTATATGTTAGTATTGTTTATGAGGGTTATTACTAATCATATCTAATCATCAACATTTTCTAATCATCATCACGGTAAGTTCTAATCCTCTGCGAGCAAAGGATGTGATAAGTCTAATTCAGACTAATCACTATAATCATCACTATAATCATCACTATAATCATCACTATAATCATCACTATAATCATCACTATAATCATCACTAGTTATAAGATAATATACTATAATATACTACAATATACTATAATATACTATAATATACTACAATATACGATAATATACGATAATATACGATAATATACGATAATATACGATAATATACGATAATCATCACTATAATATACTATACTTTAGCATGGCGTTCTACCACGTTTTCTTTAGAGCTATGTCCAAGTTTGGGTAAATATTGTCCCTAAATTTGGTAATTATTGTCCTCGAGCCTGGGTAAATATTGTCCCTAAATTTGGTAATTATTGTCCCCGAGTTTGGGTAAATATTGTCCCTAAATTTGGTAATTATTGTCCCGGAGTTTGGGTAAATATTGTCCCTAAATTTGGTAATTATTGTCCTCGAGTTTGGGTAAATATTGTCCCTAAATTTGGTAATTATTGTCCCCGAGTTTGGGTAATTGTTGTCCCTAAGTTTGGGGAACTATTGCCCTTTTAAATTTCCCAAATCTGAGGTCAACTATTCACAATATAATAATATAAGGGGTCAAGAAAGCGTGGTTGAGCGCCGTACGGGATAGTTCTGCATAAGTAGTATGAACATAAATCTCCATCTTTATCGTCACAAAGAGGATTCAGAAACGCGAATTGTGAGAATCAAAAGTGGGATCAGAAACTCCCAAAAGTTAGGGACAGAGATCCCAAAAGATAGGGACAAAATCTCCAAAAGATAGGGACATTTTTTTTCAAGAGGGACAAAAATTCCCCAAAGAGGGACAAAACTTCCCAAACAAGAGGGGCAAAAATGCCCAAAAAAGAGGGACAAAAATTGCAAAACAGTGCCTAAAGAGATAGCCCAAAAACATGGCCTTCACCTTGGATGTCGTCCACGAAGACCGAGCTCCAGCCCACTTCCGGTTGCCAGGTGAAGCCACTGGCGCCTAAGGCTATGAAACAACGCCGTGCGGAGACGCGATGTGGCGCAAGGGAGGGGGTACACTTTGGTGGTCATGTATATATAGTATTATACTATTTATATATATATATACATGTATGTCTTATATGTCATTGTATGTCATATTGTATTATATTGTATTAACATGAATAAGACTGTTCGATAGTGATGAACATATGTATTTATCTATCAATCTAATCTGGCAATGGAACCCCCCAATTTTAAAGGGGCTTTCGATGGACGTGGACCTTGCCGGCACTGGGGCTACCACCCCTTTCAGCTGTCCAACCAGCACGATGCTGAACCAGAAAGACGTGCGCGTTGGCATTTCTCTGCCTCGACCAAGGGGTTCACATCATATGAGTTGCTGATACCAGTAGAGTGGCTTATATAACTTCTACCCCCATGATGTCAGTGATTAGTGAAGCTTAATTATAAGGAGTAAATCCGAAAGAAATAGGCAAACATGTGGTGACTGGCATGATTGGTTGGGGAATCATTCACCTCGACGGACTTTAACAGCAAAGACCCTTTTTTTCGCATCCAGTGAAGTAGGCTGACCCAGTGGGATTTGGATTTCAAGAACAATTTGCCTGACCAAACCAATACTGATTTCCGAATCTATGACCTAGTTGGGGCTGAGCCAATTTGGGGAGAGAACTGCGCCATAGATCTGAAGGAACACGACAAAGAAGGACAACCTGGTAACCTCAAACTTTGCTGAGCTGCCAGACCGGGCAACCTGGTACATGTGCTTAAAACGAGACAATATTGGTCAAGTCATTGGGTACCAAAACAAGAACAATATCTTCTTACTACCAAACAATGACGAAAATTCCGTCTGTTTCTTCCCAAACCAGCCATCAAAATATGCAACGGCCTCGCACGTGCCACGGTGCAACAATGTCTTGTCAAAGCCACCCTGGCCCAACAGCTGGAGAAATCATCCGGCCAACAGACAGAGAAACGTCGGAAACGGCGTGCACGTTGACCCTTCGGTAATCAAACGTAGCTAGCTGGCAAATCACCGAACTAAATGGAGGATGTCAAATGATTATAAATGGGAAAATCATCGATAAATGCCGTGTTTTCCAGCACGCCATGGTTGATGACACCAGAAGCTAAAATGATCCCTTGTTCAGTTCAAGAAACTGACACGACAAGTGCAACAAGTTGTTTGCCTGGAGGAACTGCTGAGAGCATCCACTTGAAGTATCAAGCTCCTGGCCAAGTCACGACTCAAGGCCCCAAAGCTGGATGAAGATGAACTACAAATAACTACAAGCTGCAAGTGCCACAAGTGCACCACGCCCTGTGGAAAATCCCACATTGATATACATTTACAGATGCTGTCCCCATCCAAAAGATGATTTTCCATGTTTTTCCATGGTAAAAACCTGCTTTTCCCATCCTAAAAATTATTTTCCATGGTAAAAACCATGATTTGTGCGGTCTGCTCCTGGGGCCGGTCTCGGATTCCACCTGAAAGAACTTTTCCAAGATGTCCTGCGGGGTAATCGCCGCCATAAAGTTAGGATATGGGGCCGACTGTGAGTATTTATATATATATATATATATGCATATAGTTCTATATAACTTTATATAACCCAGAAAGATTCTTGGAGCTGCACCCCCAACTAGGGATTCAACCATGGTTTCAGCAGGAAGTCTCTCAATCAGTTCACTCCACGCCTCCAACTGTTGCGAGCCTGACAGCTGTGACACCGGGATGATCTCTGTGCCTAGGAGCATCGGAAAGGCCGGATGTGAGGATGGACTACCCAGGAAACTCACCGAAAATCCACCATGGAACTGGATGATTTCCTGGGGAAAACAACAGTTCTTCCACGTCTATGGTAGTTATATGTAGTTATTGTTGGTTTACCTCTGGGTAAATTTCGAGATTTTACAACTGACTATTGAAATAACATCAAATAACTATTCGAAATTGAGGTGCCAATGTATTCTGGTCGGAGGTTGATGATTGAGAGGTCTGTGGAAAACTCTGCCAGGGCGACTTTATCGTTCAATCTCCCCTAGATTAGATTGTTTGCCACCCCCGAAGTATTCATATCAAATTCGTCAACTGGAATCATCATCCAAAACCACAAGTTTGAAATATGGAACATGCCATCAAATAATAATTTTCAATAATATATATATATATATATTTGTATTTATATTCATATATATATAGAACCCAAGCATTCAAATCATCAACCATTCTCAGTCTTATCTAAGACAAATAGGGGTTTCCATAAATTTCAGGGCTACCCCAATAGCTGAATGGTTTAATTGGAAGATCCCAATCTACAATGGATGATACTTAAATCGGATACCCCCATGAGTTAGGAAACCTCCACTCCCAGGTGCCTCCCACGGCCGCCAGTTCCTTCACCGCCGGCATGTGCGCCATCGGCGACGACGTCGCCAGCTCACAGAGCAAGCCGCGGCCGCCCGACTCAACGGCGTCGTGGGCGTCGATGGCGTAGCGCATGGCGGCGCTGAGGCTGCAGCGGACCTGAACGACACAAAAGGGAGATGGGAAAACCAATAAATCGATCGAAAATGATGGGAAAAATTGGACAAAAAACAAGTTTAGCAGATAAATCAAGACGATAAAGCTAAAGCTCTCCAAATGTTGGAACATATTTAAAAATTATGCAACAAGAGCATGTCAACAAAATGTATAAACATGGCGTCAATACCAGTAAGAGGCCATGCGTGTGTGGATATTTTGGGTGTGGGGGTGGGTGGGGGGGGTGGGGTGGGGTGGGATGTTAACGTTCATTGCGACCGCAACCACGCAACCACGCAGTACGTTCTCTTGCACTTCCACACATACGTCATGCTACGCTGCTGCACGTTCTCTTGCACTTCCACACATACGTCATGCTACGTTGCTGCACGTTCTCTTGCACTTCCACACATACGTCATGCTACGCTGCTGCACGTTCTCTTGCACTTCCACACATACGTCATGCTACGTTGCTGCACGTTCTCTTGCACTTCCACACATACGTCATGCTACGCTGCTGCACGTTCTCTTGCACTTCCACACATACGTCATGCTACGCTGCTGCGCGTTCTCTTGCACTTCCACACATACGTCATGCTACGCTGCTGCACGTTTCTTGCACTTCCACACATACATCATGCTACGCTGCTGCACGTTCTCCAGCACTTCCACACATACGTCATGCTACGCTGCTGCACGTTCTCCTGCACTTCCACACATACGTCATGCTACGCTGCTGCTCGTTTCTTGCACTTCCACACATACATCATGCTACACTGCTGCACGTTCTCTTGCACTTCCACACATACGTCATGCTTCGCAGCTGCACGTTCTGCTGCACTTCCACACATACGTCATGCTACGCTGCTGCACGTTTCTTGCACTTCCACACATACATCATGCTACGCTGCTGCACGTTCTCTTGCACTTCCACACTACGTCATGCTACGCTGCTGCACGTTCTCCTGCACTTCCACACATACGTCATGCTACGCTGCTGCTCGTTTCTTGCACTTCCACACATACATCATGCTACGCTGCTGCACGTTCTCTTGCACTTCCACACATACGTCATGCTACGCTGCTGCACGTTCTCCTGCACTTCCACACATACGTCATGCTACGCTGCTGCACGTACCGTTCTCTTGCACTTCCACACATACGAGTACGTCATGCTAGGAGCCAGAACAGCTTGCTATGCTCATGGTTGCAAAGCTTGGAAAGGAGCCTCCAAACAACAAGTGCCAGAAAAACGCCTCAAATGGCAAAACTTTGCCCACAACCGCGGTGAGTTTGTGAAGCACTTGGGAGGAAGCCCACGAAAAAGAGTTCTTCTTTGGCCGGCACATTGGTTAAAAACACGACTCCCCGGCAGTTGAACACACATAAAGACTGCACACAAGAGTTCAAAAATATGGGAAGTACTTGTATGCTGCAGTCTGGCTCAAGAGCGTCAAAGGCAATGTCCTGAACAACCTCGGACAACTTTGTGCTTGAAAGGAAAAAAGGAACTTTTCGGCGAAACCCTCGACGAACAAAACTCCTGTTTCGTGCTTGTAAAACACTAGATTTTCCACTTTTGAAGTGAACTTTCCAAGGGATTTGCACCAGAAATTTATTCCAGAAATATAAAACTGTATAAATTACTACAGTTTCGGACACTTCCCTCATCGTCCTGGCACTGTGTGATGTCATCACCGACACGGCCTCTTACAGATGCTGTTACCATAAACATCTTAACCAAATATGGGAGATCAACCAAGTCTCAACAAATATAGGGAAAATCAGGGAAAATTAGCATGCTGTACTACCATACGGATCAAAACTGACATACCCCAAAAAAATGGATTGCTCATGATTCTTCAACGCGTGGTTTATTAATTCTCCTAGTTGATGTACTGGATCATTCAGAGCCATGGACACAGAATGAACCTCATTGAACCTCAACCCACAACCGCCACGGCTGCATTTCCCGCCTCGAAATACTCTTCCTCCCTGCGCTGCATCTGCTGCAAGGTTTTGGACCGGAAGACTGCCAATGGCAAGGCCATGTCAAAGATGGCACGCTGCAGTTCCTGCCCAAACAGGGGGAACAAAACAACCGGTAGTATCCACCCAACCATCCACATCTCCTTCACTGGGGATGCAAAAGAACAAGTATTTGAGACCAACGCTGTTGCTAAAATCCCGCTTCTCTTGACTTTCCAAATGAATATCCAACACCCCCAACTTAACAGTGTCAATATCGCAAAATTAGATAAGTATCATATAAACTACTGCGATCAAATCCTCCCCACCATTCCAGCCATTCATATTTTGGTTGAGGTCCATATCCCATTTCTGTTCCCATCCCATCCACGTCCAATATTCCAAACAAGAATTCATCAGCTGGTTCGCTACTATCATCATTGTGATTCTTGTTACTATCATCATTGTGTCTTCTTTATTTCATGTCGACGATTAAACTACTCTTAGTATCATCATTCTCATTGTGAGTATGTTCACGAACTTTTGCCATCCGGCCACCCTCATCCCAACCCCCATCCCACAACCAAAAAAAATGACGGCTTATCATGGGCTTATCATGGGCTTATCATGGGCTTAGCATGGGCTTATCATGGGCTTATCATGGGCTTATCTATCTATCCATCCATCCATCCATCCATCTCTCTATCGAATCTCTCTATCTCTCTATCTCTCTCTCTCTCTATCTATCTATCTATCTGTCTGTCTGTCTATCTATCTGTCTATCTATCTGTCTATCTATCTGTCTATCTATCTATCTATCGATCTATCTATCTATCTGTCTGTCTATCTATCTATCTATCTATCTATCTATCTATCTATCTATCTATCTATATATCTTATCGTTCTTATCTTTCTTATCTATCTTATCTATCTTATCTATCTTATCTTTCTTATCTTCTTATCTATCTTGTCTATCTTATCTATCTTATCTATCTTATCTATCTTATCTTTCTTATCTATCTTATCTATCTGATCTTTCTTATCTATCTTATCTATCTTATCTATCTTATCTATCTTATCTATCTGATCTTTCTTATCTATCTGATCTTTCTTATCTATCTTATCTATCTTATCTATCTTATCTATCTTATCGTTCTTATCTATCGTATTTTTCTTATCTATCTTATCTATATTATCTTTCTTATCTATCTTATCTATCTTATCTATCTTATCTTTCTTATCTATCTTATCTATATTATCTTTCTTATCTATCTTATCTATCTTATCTATCTTATCTTTCTTATCTATCTTATCTATCTAATCTAATCTAATCTAATCTACTCTAATCTAATCTAATCTAATCTAATCTATCCAACTATCTAACTATCTACAGTAACTATCTAACTAGCTAGCTATCTAACATAAAATCTTCCAACCTCAATTCCAACCGCGAGACACCACGCCTCCAGCTTGGCCTCAGGCTTCGCCAGCATCAGCGCCGCCAGGGTGCTGCCCAGCTCCAGGCCACCTGGGACCACCTCGCAGCTGGCCTCACAGCCGCAGGCGCGGCACCAGCCCCGTAGCGAGTCCAACAAGGGACGCCTGTGGCAGGTGGGGAGGCTGGGTTTTTGTTAGTTTTTGTTAGGGCCGTGTTGAGATGGGCATATATGGAAATATATGGATAAATATGGTATTTCTTTGACTTGACTCATTGACGGATGTTTGAAGACTGAAACTGGCGGTCTTGACTTGAAAAGTTGGGATTTGCTAAAGATTGTTTAACGTAGCAAAATGTGGAGTTCAACCTAGAAAAGGAATGGATGTTCCGTGGCCAGCATTTATGCTGGGGATGTTTCACATCACTGGAAATGGTCGTGAGAAATTGTGGAAACCCTGATCAAGGGAGGATTGGAAGGGATCCAAAAACGGGAGTTGAACCTAAAATTGGGATGCTGGACCAGCAAAAGTGGGATTAGAATCGGACAATTGCGGGGTTAGACATTAAAAACAGACATGAATCCAGCCACCTCCTACTCTGATGGTTCATCCGCAAGAGTTCGGATAGTCAATGTCGATCATCCCAGGAATGGATATGTTATCAAAAGTTATCAAATATCTAAATTTCCACAGATTGACAATCCCATCCATCCAAATCATAGTTCGCCTGTCGGGCGGAAGCAAATCTGCAGGCTGCAGCAGTTGCTTCTCGAAACGGTTCAGGAACGGCACATCCAGCTGTTTGAAGGCCTGCTCCTGGGGAAAAATGGAGGCGGATGATGTTTTATATATAGTGAGTGTTATAAATATATATATATAATCTTTAAATGGGGATGTTGCCATTAAAAAACGGGAGATGTTTATGTTGTTTATGTAACCGTACCCAACCACGTTGATGATATGGCGTTGAGGTTGATTTTCCAAAGAAAGCGATAGGTTTTTGCTGCCCACAGTTGGCGATAGGAATTGGAGCATGGCCAGGGGATTCTCTTGGATGAGAATATGAACAAATTATGATGTTTGGGATATGGTGAAAAAATAGAGACTTTGTCATAACCATGGATGATACAAAGAGAGTTGCAAAAAAATATGTTGACCACGATCAAAGCCCCACTGCAACTCTTGTTGTGATCCTCCAGCTTTGTAGCTAACTTCAACCCTACTCATCCCTGGCAATGGGGCATGCTGGTCTCCCAGAAGTTGGTCATAGTCATCACTGAAGTAACCCCGGTCTATCAGTAATTCAAGCATAAACCCGCATACAAACACAGGGTTGACCTCCAAAAAAAACCTTTAGCAAGGTATGTACGATCTTTCTTCATTGAACAGGGAAAAAAAACACCTTATTTTTTTTCAAAAAGAATAGGTAAAATCTCCTCATGAAGCCATGATAGATTTACCCGAGGGTATGCCGTAAGCCCAGCTGACCTGATCCACCAGCACCAGCAGTTTGAAGCTCTCAGCCATAGGACACAGCTGAGATCGCGCCCCGATGGCCAGGCGCAACATCAGCTCAATTTCACCTTCCTGGTGGAGCTCTGCTTCACCATGGGATTCCCCTAAGATCCCCCCAAGTCACATCGATGCCCAAAATCGTAACAAAAGGGCTGTAAAATGGGGTGTTGAAGCACAACAAATCCTTCAAACTGGTTTAAAGCCATGTTCTGAAGTTTCCTGGTTGAAACATCTTGAAACTGTTGAAACTCATCGAACCCAAAGCTAGAAACTCGTGACGCTCGTTGGTTTCGGTCGTTTCGAGTTGGCCTCCGTGCGGCGCCGGACGTAGCGTTGGTTCAGGACGTCCTGAGAATCTGCAGTCCCTCTGTCCATTGAATCCTGATTGGTTCATAGCGATTCCCTGTTGACTATTAGAATCCCCAATGATCACCAATATATTGGCTATAGTTAGGCTATATTCCCCGAAATAATCATCAACCAACAGGAGTTTTGAACACTGCTCATATGAAAGAATGGAACAGTTAGGTTCGGATGAAAGCTCGAGAGGGGATGTTTTGCAGGATCGATGTTCTAACAAGTTTTCCTGGAAGGCCTGATTTTCATCACCTGCGAATCAGGTCCTGATTCAATGTGCAAATGTGCAAACGTGGGGGGGTCGGTGTTGACAAACCCACTGGGGGGCTCCAAACTCACATCTCAGCATCGTAGAGAGCTTCGTAGATCACATCCATTCCACAGAGCACCAGACTCCGGCCCTGGCGCAGCAAACCCGGTAGCATTTGAAATGAGCTGCTTTTCGCAGACAGGCAGATTGTGTGAATTGCTCTGATAAATCTGTATGATATCAGTATTATATATATATACATATACATAATTATATGAAAAAAATACTATCTATATAATATATGTATAATAAAAAATATCTATATAATATCTATAATATGACAGGGTTGGCAGCGTGGTTCCGGAATCGATCTGAAGCTCTGAAGCTCTGAAGCTCCGCGTCTTCGTTGTTTGTATTGAAGCTCTGAAGCTTTGAAGCTTGCGTCTTCGGTTGTTGACTTGAAGCTCTCCGACTCAATGTATAATATATCTATTTGATATCTATATAATATCTATATAAGATCTATTTCATATCTATATAACATCTATTTAATATCTATATAATACCTGTATAATATCTATATAATATCTATATCATATCTAAATAATATCTATGAAATATCTATAATGTATGTATATATAGGCTTGTCCAGGCTTCTGGAACTGCGTAAACCTGAATACGATTGGGGGGTGGGGTGGGGTGGGCTGTTAATGTTCATGTGAACTTGCGGCAGCAGTTGATGCTACGCACACGCTGTGGGGCAGCAGTTGATGCTACGCACACGCGGGGGGGGGGTGGGGTGGGGTGGGATGTTAACGTTCATGTGAACTTGCGGCAGCAGTTCTACGCACCGCGGGTGGGGGGTGGGGTGAGTGTTAACGTTCATGTGAAACTTGCGGCAGCAGTTGATGCTACGCACACGCGGGTGGGGTGGGGGTGGGATGTTGAACGTTCATGTGAACTTGCGGCAGCATGTGAACTTGCGGCAGCAGTTGATGCTACGCACACGCGGGGTGGGGGGGTGGGGTGGGATGTTAACGTTCATGTGAACTTGATGTTAACGTTCATGTGAACTTGCGGCAGCAGTTGATGATGATGTGATGATGATGATGATGATGATGATGATGATGATGACATGACCCAAATGAAACTTGTTAATTCCGCGACGAAATTTCGTCACGGAATGGACAAGTTTTACCAACCTAATTGAGGTTTACGCAGTTCCAGAAGCCTGGACGAGGCTATATATACATAATGTCTATATAATATCTACATAATATTATATATATATATATTATAATTCTATGTAATTATATATATATATAATTACTAATCCCAAAAAAAAACTACCTTTGCCTGCTTGTAATGCTACACTACAATTCCTTTGGAACTATTATTGTTCCCAGTGAATACTGCATAGACTAAGAGAGCTTTCTAATTGAAGTTATTCTGTGCCCTTTCAAGTCACTTTTCTTCAGAAGGGACACTGTCAATCTCACAAAGGTAGCATTTGTGATGTTTTTGTTTAAGCAAAGACGTCTCACATTTGTTCATTTCAAGTATACACAATTACTGTCAAAACATTAGGGATACTGACTCTAGAAAGCACAATGTAGCAGTACTTGCGCCACATGTGCAGCATGTTCTTTTAAATATCCAGCTTGTTTTTCAACAAATATATTATTTGATTTGAAGAGATACTGCATTTGATTGGAAGATGCCTTGTATGTTGCAGGGACTGTTTGTGCAACGTGTTTCTTCCTTCCAGAAGTATTGTACTTAGTACGTTATGAGATGGGTCTGTGGATTAAGAATGCATATTTACATGTTGGAAAAAACACTAATTGATCGAAATGAAGAGATATATTTTCAAGAGAAGTCGCTTTCTGCAAAGGAATGCTACCTATTGAAAAGGAATACTCTTTGTGCTTAAGGAATGCTACACCCTTTGAATGCAAGTGTCTGTTTGTAAAGCCTGCTCTTGTCACTCAGAATTGGTTCTTCAAGAGAAGGATGCCTGTTTGATCATCTCTTGTAGTCATTTACAGTGTGTTCACTGCCTGTTTCAGGTTTGGGGAAAAGACCCAAAGTTGAATGATCTTTTTCATGTGGGTTGAATCACTACTTGAGGGAAACTTTGCAGAGAGGTTGAGGTACTTGGAGGTACGTAAATTAATGTAAATTATACTTAAGACATAGTTTGGAAGGGGTACGAACTAGAAGATCGCAAGAATTGTACTTAGGCATTCTGCAGCCTGAAGGAATGCATTCAGAATGCATTCTTCCCCAAAACCAAGATTCAAGATCCAAGAGTTGCGGAGAAGTCTTGTGCAAATCTTGGATTTGGGATTTGCCAGAATACCCTTACCAATCCCTATCAAAATTCTTTAGGAATCCAAGATTTTGATCAGGACTCTTGTGGGAAGCTTGGATCTAGGATCTTGGTTTTTGCAAAGAATGCATTCTGAATGCATTCCTTCAGAATGCAGAATGCCCTAAGTACAAGGAAGAATCAAATCAACATTCTGCTTACTACCCTCTGTGTGTGTGTTTATTCACATATGTATATATATATATATATGGTACCCCCTAGAGGGAAAACAATACCCAAAACTCTCCAAAATTGTCCATTTAAAACCATTCCAAAAAATAGACACGAAACACCGCAAATACCAGTAAAAGTGATGAGAAGGTAGGTTTTTTGGGGGGTGCCATATAATTATATATAAATATTATATATATACTAATATACTATAATTATATAATTAAATATATATATATATATAATCTCCATCAAGCATCCCCATTGTCTTAGCACTGCCACTGGCTTGATGCAAACTTCCACATGAGTTGATTCAGACTGAAGGCCCTGAGCTGTGTTGTAACATCGTCAAGATGGAGTTTGAGGGAGATTCTGGAGGAAGTTCTAAAGAATGGAGGGTCAAAATCAAGCAAAAACAAACACAAGAACCAACCAGATTCCTGCAGAGTGTCCCATTCATTTTCAACCCAATTATAGAAGCACTGGATTTTACATTGTTATATCAAAGATTTCGTCAAGCTTGTCTGAGAATCATTTTCACGGCTTAAACCATCATATTGTATGTTTATTTCTTTTGGTAGATTGAGTTGAGCCACCAAATGTTGTTGGCTCATTAATTTCACCATCATTTGGGGGGTTTCCATACATGGTGGTACCCCTAAATCATTCATTTTAATAAAATTTCCCTTATAAACCATCCATTTTGGGGTACCCCCCATTTATGGAAACCCCCATTTCTACAGCTTCACCATGGAATGCATTGCTGGTTGAGAGGACCCCCAGGGTCAAACACCCCGACCTTCGCCATCGCGTCTCTGACACACATCAGTTGCCGGATAGCGTAGGCCTCCCCGCTGCCAATGGCGATTGGTCCAGGAAAATCATGTGTATCATAAAAAGCACACTACTCTCATGGTTTTTGGACCTGCGGCCTGTTCTTACTACTAGTTCTTTGCATGGCTTCATGAGCCTACAGTAAATGTGTTCAATATCAACTAAGCTGGATTTTCCTGCAACAAATTGATTTTTTAATGGCCAAACCAAAGTACAAGGGGTACACTAGCTGGGAGGGTACTTAACCTGAGCAGCGGTATAACGGAACCCACTCCAAAAAAGGAACTATCCGGGGTTGTTGCCCTTCCTTACGTGAACTCAACCGAGAAACCTAGGTGAGATGTGAGCTAAGACATGTTGCCTATATGGCTACATATGGCTACATATACAATCATAATTATACATATTATATACAAACATATGGTATGTTGGGGGGCTTATACCCCCAGGGTTTACCATTGCTATCAGCACTTAGTCACTAGTCTTGGTGATGCTCTGAGTGCTGATCGCCAAATTATATCAAATTATTGTGTCCCCGCACACCTGCAACAAAACTGAATGTGTGGCAAACCGATTTTTAGAGCACAGAGGTCAAGGCATTGTACACCTCCTCCAAAATTAAGAATTGATTAACATGTAACATGTAGCTTCATCAATAGTTAGGTATACCGATATAATATACCCGGTATACCATATTGCCTTCTTTCACTCCTTTGCGTGATGGCAAGTCAACACAATGTTCTGCCACTCTAGGCTCTTCAGACCACTGGGCATGACCACCCGGTCTAGGCGGTAGAACTTGGCACCAAACGTCAAGCTCTTCAAACGGCTCGGCAACGCCACAGCTTCAAGACTTTGATTGAACTCCAGGCCGAAAGATAGGCTTTCAAGACACTGTGGCAAAGTCACACCCTCCAAGCTTTGGTTAAAAGCCATCCCAAACTTCAGGCTCTGCAGACTGCTTGGCAAGGTCAAATCCCGAAGGCTCTGGTTGAAACGTGTACCAAACGTCAAGCTTTCGAGGCTCTGTGGCAAGATCAAACCCTCCAAACTCTGGTTGAATGCATTGCCAAAAGTCAGCGAACGGAGAGCAGGCAAGGTCAAACCTGTCAAGTTTCCGTTAAACTCTGGACCAAATGCCAAGTGTTTCAGGCTGTTGGGTAGCGCCACGCCCTCCAGGCTGATGTTGAACTGCATGCCGAAAGTCAAGTTTTCAAGATTGCTTGGAAAGGTCACCCGCTCCAAGGGCTGGTTGAAGCATTCCCCAAGTGCCAAGCTCCGAAGACTGCATGGCAGAGTCACATGCTCCAGGCTTTGGTTGAACTCCCAACCCAAGGTCAAATGCTGAAGATTTGGTAACCTCACACGCTCCAGGCTCTGATTGAATTTGCATCCAAATGTCAAATGTTTGAGGTTCGGAGGCAACGCAACCTTCTCCAGATTCTGATCGAATTGTTCACCGCAAGTCAAGCTTTGAAGGTTGTGAGGCAACTTTACTCTCTCGAGGCTTTGGTTAAAATTCCGGCCAAGAATCAAGTTTCGTAGACTATTTGGAAAGACTACATGTTCCAAACTCTGGTTGAACTGGCCACCAACAGTTAAGTTCTGAAGGCTGCTGGGCAACTCTATACCTTCCAGGCTCGTGTTAAACTCCACTCCAAGCGTCAAGCTTTGAAGACTGCTTGGCAGGACACCATCCAAGTCCTGGTTGAAGAGTCCCCCGAAACTCAAAGAGCGAAGACTGCTTGGTAACATCACATGCTTCAATCCATGATTGAATGTCCAACCAAAAGTCAAGCTTTGCAGAGTGTCGGGCAAGTTCACATTTTGCAGGGTCTGGTTAAACTGCCAACCAAATGTCAACGATTCAAGACCTCTTGGGAGGGCCACCCTTACCAGTTGCTGGTTGAAGACCACCCCGAACGTCAAGTTGCGAAGAGCAGCCGGGAAAAGCACACGCTCCAAGCACTGGTCGAAATAGTAGCCGAATTTCAAGCTCTGAAGACCGTTTGGCAAAGTGATGCCATCCAAACTCTGGTTGAAGTCCTGCCCAAAGGTCAAACTTAGTAGCCTACTAGGTAGCCTCACATGTTCCAGGCTCTGATTGAACTTGTGCCCAAAAGCCAAATGTTGAAGCTTCTCAGGAAATTTCACATGCTGCAGGCTCTGGTTGAACATATGACCGAATACCAACCGTTGAAGACTCTCCGGCAAGGTCACTTGCTTCAAGCTCTGATTGAACTTATCGCCAAGAGTCAAGTTGAGAAGGGTTTGAGGAAGATGGTGTAGACACTCTTCAGACCTCGGACCTGTCAAGTGTGTCAAACCTTCCAATGCAAATTCACCCTCTGCAGTTGGTAGCTCCTGAAGGAAACACCATGCAGAGTACCAAGTCGTGGGCACATAAGTGCAGGACAGCCTTGCTGCTCCAGAAATGCCTTGCTCTTGCAAGCTCTGGTGAAGTATCAGTTTCGACTCCATGTGATACAGCACCAGGGTTGCACCCGGTTTCGATGGAAGTCTCTCTGCCACCATTTTTCGCACGTCCCGGCCCAAGGTACCATGAGGGATTCTCAGAGTGAAGCCTTCACCATTCAACCGCAGCACGTCAATGTGCAGCTCGACGAGATCTATATTGCCATTGGCAGTCGACATCTTATCGAGATTTCAACTAATGTTGGTAAAACAATAATAACCATCCCCAATTTCACCATAAATAGGTTGTATAAATCATTCCCAAATGGGTGGTTTATTATTGTTTTAACATGTTTTAACCACATTACTTGTGTTGCTGTAATTAACTTACAGTATTTGAACCACCTGACAACGGGGCATGAAATGTCACGTTGCCACAGCAGACCGTTGCCAAAGAGTGTTTGGGAGATGCGCTTGGGACATGAGGTGACAGTCAAGTGACGTGTGTAAAACACCTTGGTCCACGATTCTTCCTGCAGATGTGTATTCTACTTAAAACATCTTAAAACCATGAAACATCCATCAATATCCATCAAACATCCATTTAAACATCCATTTAAACATCCATCAAATATCCATTTCTGCTTTAGCTTGTCGTTTCCTACCACTTACCAAAAAACTCACCTCGTGTAACGACGCCGCAAAACGCCGCACCTCCGACGCATCCTCTGGGAAGTCGCTGCCCAACAAGATTTCGGCGTCCGGCAAGACTCCAGCCGCCTGGAAACGGCAGGGAAACCATGGGAAAGGCCCAAGAAATCCATTGGATTAGAACATGATGTTTAAAAAATGATGTCATAGCCATGGAAAAGCCATTTGGGGGTATATCATGGTATATCCCATTTTCAGACACGCCCACAATCTGATATGTGTTTGGTCTAAAAGCATGGTACTGGAAAATACGCAAGCTTCGAAAAGAAAAAACATTGATCAATAGGCATGATTTTCTATTGCCAGGATGGGTAACTGACCAAGATTGCGGAAAAAAAAGACTCAAACAAATCAATGTGGCCATGGTTTTCACTCTAAAATCGGATCTTCATCACCAAAATTCTACGGAAAAATCGTAAGTTTTGACCCAGAGATCCCCGGCCCATGGCGCCTGCAGCCATGGCAAGGCAGGGCCTTGACTGGCCAACAGCAAGTGCCTCGCCCTCCTCGCTGCCACGGGGGTTCATAGCTGGCACAACGGTGGCAATAGATTTTTGAAAGATGATCTGAGATGGAACAAATGTACACTACAATATTACATATTTATATGTAAATATATCATATACATAGCAGTATATTATAGATTGCATATATCTATATGAGGCAAAATGTGTATGTGTGTGTGTGTATGTGTGTGTGTGTATGTGTGTGTGTATGTGTGTCTGTGTGTATGTGTGTGTATGTGTGTATGTGTGTGTGTATCTGTGTATGTATGTATGTATGTATGTATGTATGTATGTATGTATGTATGTATGTATGTATGTATGTATGTATGTATGTAGGTAGGTAGGTAGGTAGGTATGTAGGTATGTAGGTATGTAGGTATGTATGTAGGTATGTAGGTATGTAGGTATGTAGGTATGTAGGTATGTAGGTATGTAGGTATGTAGGTATGTAGGTATGTAGGTATGTAGGTATGTAGGTATGTAGGTATGTAGGTATGTAGGTATGTAGGTACGTACGTACGTACGTACGTATGTATGTATGTATGTGTATGCCTCTATACATCTAAGTACGTCTCAGCATGGCTATGTATGTTTATGTATATGTCTCTATATGTCTGTGTATGTTTGTGTATCTATGTATACCTGTGTATGCCTCTGTATGTCAATGTCTGTCTATGTATGCCTCTTTTCTATGTTTGTCTAAGTCTATGTATGCATATGTGTGTCTATGTGTTATGTATGTGTGTGTGTGTCTATGTATGTGTCCGTATGTCTGTGTATGCCTGTGCTTGTCTGCGCGTATGCACGTTTGTCTATCATGGAGATAGACACATCCAAAGGCCTCCACCAAACATCCAGCAACAACAGGTCTGTACGGCCTCTCGTCAACATCCCGTCTTCCACCCGTCCTGTCAGTCAGACTGGTCTGCAAGAGTTCTTTCATCGGTCGTTCATGTCTGGGAGATCCTTCCATTCAGTGCGCATATCATTGACTGCAATGATGGACTGAATGCGCTTGTCCCAAGCAGCTCGGAGTTGCCCCAAAAACTTGCCCCAGAACGATTTTTCTATATATATAATTGCAACACGCCATGAGTAAAAGAATAATTACTGTATACTCGGGTTGTTCCTGGAACAAGTTTGGCCTTATTTCCGCTGCCATTCACCAAGAGCCGTGAGAGTTCTCATTCGAAGAATTTTCGCAGATCATTTGGAAAGTTGTCGGTTACATTGGTTACATAATATACAAACAACGTTCAATCAATTTTCCACCTGCACGTTGCCACCTGCACTATATAAGTTTTTGAAGCGGTCAAACGATTTTGGGCCACCTCAACACTAGCGTGAACGTTTGTTGTGCCACTCCAATATATCAGGAAGCAGGGAAGTATTATAAAACAAGTAAAATCTGGCAAATTTGTCTGATTCTCCACTGGTATCCAACGTGGATGGCAGCCCCATCAAACCGACCCATCAAAATGGTTGTGCACATCCAACATCTGCAATGTTTGTCCAAAGATGACAAGGACATACAAGGACCACGAAGACAATCCAACAGGTTGGTGACGAATGTTCTGGTTCCCTTCGGAGAAAAAAACAAACCGACAAGGGACCGCACTAACGGACAACCACTGCATGCATTGAGAACATCCAAGAAAAGAACAACGTGCAGAACGACGTGCGCCGATTGGCAGAGCGCGGCAAAAAAAGATGGCTGCAGGTTCAGAACGTTCGCACAAAAATGATCGGTCATTGTGCGGAAGACAATTTTCCAACGTTCAAAGTTTCGAGTGTTGCAAACCCCAAACAAGATCAAAAAGGAGGTCCAGAACTCGAGTTGGAATGGGCTGGGGCAACCACATAAACTCTACAGAATCCGCTCCTGAAGGGAGCATGGCTTGCAACATTCGTTCCAGCAGCAATGGTTGACCACCAAAATTCCTCTGGATGGCGAAGCACAAAATCCTGAGTGCAGCCACTGCCAAAACGATCTCCTTGGAGGCCCATAAAGAAATCAAACGTGGGATAAGTTTCAGAAATTGAACACATTTGAACACAATAGCCAAAACCCAACAGTAACATCCACGCACAAACCTTGAATGAGGTACTGGTACTGTAGGTGGACAAAAATACAACAACCGTCAATCGTTTGGGGCCTCTTGAGTTTAGAAGCTGGCAAGCAGAATGAAGCACACAAACCATGACACCAACTATGATCCTGATTGTCATCACCATGGGAGAAAAGATGAAAGAAACGACCCCTGAGTCAAAGAAGATGGTGAGGACGACAATGATTATGGTGGAAACCATGATGGTGGCAGCCATGACGATGGTGGCAGCATGCTGCAATAGCCGTCCCCTCGTCCTTCTCCGTACAGCGCGCCCTTGTGGTTACCCGTATGGCCAAGACCTATGGCTAGTTCTTGCAACCTCCGTTTTGGCCTGCACCTTCCTGTCTGGAGCAACACTTGTGCTTTTGGAGCTACATCCAGGATCAACCTTCATGTAGCAAGGCTCAATTGGACGTGGGTTACCTTCCCCACTTAGCGAGGGTAGGCCAGACCTGGTTACCCAAAATGTGAATGATTCAAAGAATTTAATAGGGCCCCCCTAACAAATAGAAGAGCGGTTCCCATGATTTCGATCATGATCTACTTTGCCACCGTTTTGGGGACTACAATACTGCGAAATCTGTGTTGACTCGCACATTTCAACATCAGTGCGAGGCACTCTGCGTCCGGCTGTTCCGTGTTGTGCTTCAAACATCCGTCCCGCACTGCACGGACAAAGCTGTAGTAGTCGCGCATGCCGAGCCAATCTCGTCCTCCTGCGACTGGCCAAGGCACTGGGAATCCCTTCCCTCGAAGGCGCTACACACTGAATGGAACCCGAAAATGAGTAGATCACTAAACCCTGGTTTCAGATGCGATTGTATAAATAGGCCCCAGAATTTCAGAATCGCACGCGATTTCCTGTTTCAGAAATTGCAATCTATAACTATCTGGCAGGGGTCCATCACAACACATTCTCATAAATTTCACCCTGGGCTACACAAGTGGCAGATGAATCAGTCATGAGTCCCGGGATATCCATTGCAACTGAAGCTCACGCAGTGAACCCTTAGCCTTACAGGTCCTCTATTACAAAGTCACTCTACGTGATGCAACCATAGGTGAGTGGTTTTTTTTGTTCTCGCCATTGAAAGTGGTGTCCCCAGTTCGATACAAGCGGTGCCTTTTCCTGGTCCTGTAAGTATATAGCTGGGCGATCTGGTCTGAATATAAAGCTACGGTTGGATTCCATTGGATGGATGAACATAATCCAACTACAATATAATATCTATATATATAGTTATATAAAAATACAGTAATAATAATGATAATAATAATAATAAAAAATAGTAATGCAAATATATATATATATCATTATAAATAACTTGGATATATCCACCACAAACCCTGGCTTTATCGGCACTTACAACTGGGGGGCACGACATTGAGGGTCACCTGCATCTATCCACATAGCAATGGCAGGATCTCAACCGACACTGCCTCCATCTTAACTCCAAACATGGATTGATGGAGGCATTTGTAGAAATTGGAGAAATGACAGTGAAACAATTCCTAAATCTCCAATTTCTAGTCATTGTAGGTATTGTAATCCATCTTTGTAAGAAATGGATAGAAACTGTATCAGATTGACATCTATTAATTTCTAGTCATTCTAGGTACAGTATTTTGTTAAAGTTGTTGGATTTCTCAAGACATGGATCCATATTGAGAGAGCTGTGACTGCCTTTGATCGTTTGATCAGATTTGTGTCATTGCTGGTGATGCTTCCTCTCCTCCATCATCAGATTGACGATATAATTACGGTTTGTTCAGAACATCTCAACCTTTCTGATCCTTTCGTGGCTGTACCAAAACTGCTGCTATCATGGCTTTTTCCATGGGAAAATCAATGGACAATGGCCAGGATCTTCGGTGCGCCTTGATCCGCAAAGACGCCCCAAAAGGCGCCCGACAGGGACTGCAACCAGGAGGCTTCCCTTAGTGCAGACCCTCTCAGGCTGATGCAATGCCGTTTCAAAATCAAACACCATAGGCTGCTCGAAAAATACCCTTGAAGAATGATGAAAGTGGGATTTATTGGGCCATAGCAGTAATATGAAACGGAAAAAAATGTTCACTGGCTTTTGCGGCATCTCGGCAGTGATACTAGCAGATTCTGGGGCAATGACAACCACAACATGCCATATTTTGGAACTTGGGGTTACAGGTGATCACCCTCCAGAATTGGGCATAGCCCCTACCAACGCCTCAATTTCCAGCCCGCAAAATGACGTTTCCACCAAAGAACTCCTCTTTGCGACCGCCCAAACTTCCCAGTAGACCTGCTCCTGCAGAAGCAGTGCTTTCCGGGCCACCATTTTTGGAATCCTTTGCGTATGTCTGAAAAATGTTGGCACTTGACAGCTCAAAAGCATCCAAGAATGACCTGCCTCTCTGCCCACAAGTTTGGTCATGTTTTCCTTTATCAAACTATGCAATACTGCCGCAAAAGTATCAGGCTCCATGGCCAACAACGAGGAAACGAGCAAGTTTTGGATAACCAAGCATATCATGAATAATTATAATTGTTTTGGCGGGCCCTGATGGCCTGATGGCCTGATGGCCTGATGGCCTGATGGCCTGATGGCCTGATCCTGATATCCAAATCACCATTGTTCCCAAAAACATGCTCAAACATCTCCTTCTAGCCTCCTAAACCTTGGATGTTGGGGACCCATCAACACCAAACCACCACGAGCGGCCCCTGAGCACCGTGACCTGTACGTCCAACCTCGGCACTGTCCGGATCCGGTCGTGCCAGACATACGCTGCGATTCATCTTGGCCGGGTCTAGGCGCCAGTTCGACAGCCCTGACATTCCGCACGGTGCTGGGATGACGGCCATGCTGGTACCATTCAGTGGATGAGAATGAATCCATCCATCTTTATCTGTGTAGACTGATGAAATTACGGATGGATGAATTGGGTGCCGGTCGCCCATCTGTCGCCAGGGATTTTGAAGAAGAAAGCACATTATTTGTTGAGCTCCACATTCGATTTTGGTGAAAACCATCAACCAAGAATGATGTCCAGGTCTGCGCAGTCTTGAAGCCAAAAAAACACCATTTTGCATATGTTCAATTCTTTCAAAATGCTTCAAATCCCGAGTGCACCCAAAAAAAATGCATATGTTATGTTTTTCATGACAAATGATCATGACAGTTAACCATTCGCCATAAAGTTAACGACATCATTAGCCATTATCATCTTTAATGATAAATTATCATGACACTTAATCATTAGCCATCCATTGGCCCATTGGCCATTGACTTTCATGGATTCATGACAACCATTCGCCATAAAGTTAGAGACCCGGCTCCTCCGCACCACTTTCGGCCTACCACCGCCACTGTCCCGGGCTCCGCGAGGATGCCATGGAGGACCTTCAAAGGCATGTCCTCGAAACGCAGGCGTCTTGACGACAAGAAATGCTTGGACGTTCAATCCCATGGTGAGTCCCAAGATATGATTGGAAGAAATATGGGGAATTGATACATGTTGAATCCCAGGATTCAAGATGATTCAAGATTGGAAGAAATTTCTGGGATTATATCATGGGGAATCTGTTGCTTAACATGAAAGAAATATCATGGGGAGACCGATAGAATTTTCATAAAATCCCAGGATTTAATGAAAAACACCCCTCGGTGTTTTAACCATGGTGCCATGGTGGATGGGGGTGAAACCACATCATTGGGCCATTTGATGATCATGGTGGATGTTTCATAGGGGATCAGGGTGAAACCCCGTTCAAAATGAAGCGTTACCATTGAAAATTGGCTTTCCTGCTTGGTGCATTTTTGGATGTGGGGAAAAAATCAGCAGCTAAACAAAGATAATATGTTGCGGGATTCGAACTCGCGATGTTTCTGGAGATGATTGGAGTTGAATGGCTAAGTTGGCATCAACTTTCTTTTCTTCCTCACTAATCATGGGAAACCGTTCGTGTATGGGGTCCAGCTGAAGCAGGGTACTCTCGGTCATATATAAATAGATAGATAGATAGATAGATAGATAGGTAGATAGGTAGATAGATAGATAGATAGATAGATTAGGTAGATAGGTAGATAGGTAGATAGATAGATAGATAGTCTCTGCTGCAGTAGGACGTAGAAACGTGGAGAATGAGAATGTGGGCCAAGAAAAAGGGATTTGAAAACCATGTTGGATGCGTAACCAGCATAAGTGACTAAACACCCATTAAATTCATTAAACCACCAATCCTAAAACTCGCACTCTCGTCAAAGCCATCAACCCTCAAACATTCTGCGCCTGTTCCCCCAGCTATTTAGCTTTCCAGCCCGTTCCGCGCTCAGTTGCAGGAGAGAACTCCGCCAGACCGACTTCATCAAGCAGAAGCACCACCTCTGGAGCTGAGGGGTAAACTTCCAGTATTGGATGAAGGGGATTGGGAATTGGTTAACGGCAAAAAACATATTGGACATATTGGGCTCCCTTTGGGTTGTTGACTTGGAAAATCCAACCAAAGAGCGAACCGGTCGATTGACAACGGCATCATTTGGTGCTCAAAGCTAGCCTTTTCAAAGCTCACTTGTTTATTGAATTGCAAGTCACATGGTTTTCCACCAAACCCTTACGGCACGACGTGATGATCCAAATGTCCCATAGTTGGTCAAAAAAACAAAAAATAGCTCGGTATGATATCTTTCCCCGTAAACAGAATGTGAGAAACCCAACAACAAAGCGTTTAGGGATTATAGTTATCACCCAGTTATATACTATAATATATTATATTATATTATATTATATATATAGTGATTTTGGGGTGATTTATGGTTTGGGGTTTACCACATTAACATACATTAACATACATTAACCCTGTTGTCTTTGTCTGAAATTTTGGTACCTGTTGATCATCGTGATCATCGTGTCCTCCCATCTTGAATTGGCAATGTTTTTTCATGGCCTGAAACATCCACCATGGCCTGAAAAGTTCGTTGATTTTGCTATGTAGGTAAAACAATACCATAAAATAACCATAAACCATCCCCCCAAAATCCCCATTTTTATAGGTGGTATTGTTCCATTCCCAGTCATGGGTGGTTCATGGCATTGTTTTTTTTCCCACAGTTCAGCGGTTTAGCGTACCTTCATCGGAAATTCTCCCAGCCTGTGCATCCAAGGCGTTCGAGGCGAAGCGTCGCGCAGCATCAAACTGTCGCCTCTGTCATCGGAACGGAGTCATTGGGAACTATTGCCTGTGACCTCCCCAATAAAGGTTTACTACGGACGAATCGTAACCACCAATAATCACTACTCAGGGCGAATCTTAATCATCTGTTGGTGTTGATAACCATGACCCAAAGAGAAAAAAATTGCTTCCATCATGTTCCATCTTTCCCCACATGACAAGAAACGCCTTTTTTCCTTGGAAAACTTGAATCAGACCAATCAAAGACTAGGAAGTTGGATGACGTTCTGCTGCTTTTTGTGAAACTTCCTGGACTTCGATATCCACGATGCTAACTGCAGGCAAACCTCTACAGCTTGCCACCAAGACACTGGATCCCGTCGGCAGTGGAGAGGGGCGAACACCTCAGAGCATCATCGAAAGTACTCTGCAGACTCCCAACAGTCACAGGAATTAGTGCAAAATTGCCATGTTTTTTTTGGAATCAGAATTCTGCCCATGAAAATTCACCCACCTCTTTCGGTGCGATTTGAAGCTCAAGCGAAAGTCAACGGCCCCAAAGGGCCTGAATTGCAGGGGCAATATGATGGTGTTGCAACTAACCGTGGTGGAAATCAGTGGTTGTCACTCATTTAATCCCGTATGTCCCCATTCTTGGAATCCTTAAGATAGAAAAGTCACACTCAAAATCTTCAGGATAAACTGTTCTGTCCTTTGGGGGACCCATGTACATATACGTATCACAAAAGGCCGTGGGTCCACTCAACGAAGGCTCTGGTCTCCAGCCCAAGGATCTGGTACTGCATGATGCGAAGGGCCGGCAAGGACTGCAGGACCTGTGCAGATGGCAGATGACTCAAAAATTGGCCGAATCAACGGTGATGTTGACCGCTTCAATCTGGATTTCATCCACCCGGCCTTGGACTTGGATTGTTTGCCCTGCAGGTTGCTGAGCCTGGTCGCTGATCTGGTCGGGGAAATCAGCAAAAATTGAAGCCACAAACCAGACCAGACTGATCCTGTAGTTCATGGCAATGCCTTTGTTCAACAACTTGACGATCAGTTACCCTGCAGAATACATTAATATCAATATGTTTTTCTATTGGCAGGATAATGTCTTTCCTTCAAAATAAGCCAACCCATTCACCACCATTTAAAGCAAACTTTTCCGGCTATTGGGATCCATGAACATGCTCTGTCAGATACACAGACTCTGAGACGCCCGGCAAGACTTGCATGCAGAGCGTCTTGGATGTTCCTGTACCCAAGCAGCGTCAATGATTCGGTTCTAAACGGTACATTGCCTGGGTTAGGACTAAAGGATTGTCCAGCCTGAAAGTGGCCAAAGAATGCCAAAGTTGGGTAAGTTGAGGTTCCATCAGAACTGATCCAATGTTCCGCCAGAATGGGAAGTAAACTGCCTGTTGCTCACGGAACCTTTCAGGCAGTGTCATCCTTCAGCTCCGTCTCTTGACATGAGCTTGTCCAAAAATGTGGCGTACAATAGATCGGCAAGTTGACTAGAAAAACTGGTAAGTAATTAATAAACCATTAGATTTGGGGAGTAGATAAATTGCAGGGGTCAACACCATGCAGACTGGGCCCATTGTCATACCGAACATACTATTTCAGAGACGGTTGAAATAATAAAAAGGATCCGCATGGCAAACTGCAAACCTGACCGGGCCTGGCTTGCCAACGATGAAGAGTGGAATGCGATTCATGATGCACAAGAGTCCTACCGCTCGACTCGGCTGAAGGGATGCAGGAGCCTCTCCGATGATCCCTGAAGTACATTCGCTATCACTGGTTCTTACTGGTGGCTTTGATTCACTTAAACAACCAATATTCAAACCTTGGGAACCGTCCCAATACGGGACTAGGGCAAACTCCTGGTACCCTGCTTACACCCAGAAAATGTCACAAGAGTGGGCGTCACTTTAGAATCCCATCATGAGTTGAACCAGAAAAAGCGGTCGGATGTGATCCCCATCAACAGGTCTAATGTTGGGTGTCAATATGTGTCAATCATTTTTTTGAAAGATACCCCAAAGACACCCCGGTTCCCAAGGGCAGACCCACAAAGACATTCTCCGCCAGCGCTTCGTTCATCACCTAATTCGAAGGGGCAGAGCGGCAGAGCTGAGTTGGGGCCAACTGAGATGGCAGATTTGATGCTTTCCAGCATTGACTTCATGGAAATATAGAGGAATCTAATGTGGGAAGATGACAAACAGAGCTAAATCACCAACCAAACAACAATGATATCTATATATATATAATAATGACAACAATCATAGGGTCGTTTGTGGGTGTAATTTAGACACCTGATATCCTACAAACTAGTCGATTTCCGTTCCGGAACGCTGGTTGCTTCAGTTCGCGTTATCTTCAGCCAATGGAGGATTCCGGCGATCACCAGAGGCCCGCCAAGTAGCCAAGGGTGATCTAGGCATTGGTAGGGATGGACATGTATACTAATGTATACAAAATGATCAAAAAGTGGTCCATGAAAGAAAAGAGCCATCCATTCAGACCATTCATGATCTCTCAGTTTTGGCCAGTTCTCTCAATTCATTTGTATCGCGACGTTTTGTCGCTGGGCCGGGTCTTCTATGCAGTTCAATCAGACGATTAATCCACCATCATCCCTAGTTCTGGATAGTTGATACTTCAAACTCCCCATGCCCATGTGGGAAATCATCCCCTGTGACCCCGTAGGTATAATTTCTACAAGCCATTTGCGACCCCCTTTTTGAACCACACGGCAGTGTCAAACAGCTGTCAAAATTATGTGTGCTGCTTATACCCCCTCAATTTTTGTTGGCGAAATCCCAGATGGTCGTTGTTCATTAAACCACAATTAGCACAAGAAATCTCAGAGACAAATGGATATGGGTCAAAATTGCGCACCCCAAGAATCGGATGATTAGTGCTAAACATAGACTAAACCATCTGTGGTCCTCCAGGGCTTTAATTGTGATCCATACCCAAATCAAGGCTCAACCATTTTTCTGCCAGGGTGCCACATCCTTTTCCACTTCAAATTCCTTCGCCACATTCGCTTGCACGCGCAGCAGAAGGTTCTCCATGGACTGGGGGCGATGGGTTTGGTGTTTTTTCCATCAAAACTGGAGGATAAGACTCCAACAAAGTTTCTGATGCCCTCCGTTCCAGCGTGACAATCCATTCAAAGTTCCATCTATAGGGGATCTTCCATCGCCACGTTGGATTACCGAAGGGTAATCAAATGATCCCCAGAAAATGGGAATTTGTGATTCTTTGAGAAAATCTGATTCTCAGCATTCTTGGCTAAGGATCAGATTATTGTGAATATCCAAAAGATTCCAAAAGCACGAACACATACTAACACCCAAGAAAATCCTCTTGCTGATCTGCCAACCATAGGACCATAGCTACGGGCTTCTCAGAGCCAAGTGACCGTCAAACCATTCTCCTGCCGCGATGAAAAGATCGGCGGGCGGTTTCAAAAAGTATGCTGCGAGCAGCAGAAATGGGACCCTGCCGTAATTTTTCACATAGCTGTGGAAAATATGGAAAATGGATGAAAATGGCCCATTGATAATGTCAAAATGGCCATTTAAGTAGAGTTTCTGCCTCCAAACCACAAACAAACCTCTTCACCTCGATCCTACAGAGATGATCAGACATCTCCAAAGTGCACAGCCCCATGATTCTAATGTTCGCAGGATCCACCAAATTTACCACTTCTAATGGTATAAATATATTATATAAACCATCAACCCATATGGCTGTTTTTAAACCATTGCTGTACCAACATTATCCATTAATTATCCTCATATATGTTGTTGGTTAAATCCCCATAGTATCCCTCTGATTTTGGCTTTTCAGAGGTTTTCCATCCCTGTTTATGGCATTGGGTTACCAAATCTTCCCATTAAATCCCAATGTCATTAAATCCCCACGTCATCAAATCCCCATTATCCCTAGTAAAATCACAATCTTCCCTAGTAAAATCTCATGTTTTGTTCTAGGAAAATCACAATTTTCCCTGGATAAAATCACAAAATTCCCTAAGTAAATTCTCCATGCCCTAGTAAAATCACAATTTTCTGTGGGTAAAATAACCGGTTTGCCTAGAAAAAATCACCATGTTCACCAGTAAAATAACAAATTTCCCTGGGTAAAACCACATTTTCCCCTAGCAACATCACAAAATTCCCCCCATGTAAAAACATAATTTTCCCTATGTAAAAACATATTTTACCAGTGGTCAGGGCCAACCACCCGCCTCCTTCTGCTTCCTCAGCTGTTCCCAGCCCCTCTGGCGCATCACGCCACTGTCCGGGGGCCAAGGGCTGCGTCGCGCCAAATCCACCCAGAGCTGATGGCGCCTCGGTTTATGGCCATCAAATCATGGAGAAAATGTAGGAAAATGATGGTTGATCTCAGCTAGGTTTCCCTGAATTTTCAGACAAACCCATGTTTCAGCATTGGTTTGTGGAAAATATGGTTGAAAGTTGAAAGCCCGGGAGTTTTGGGGGGAGTATGGTTGCCTGTAAATTGTCTCACAAATCAATCCGGTGAATGAGAACCCGGAAGCCAGCACATATATGGAAAATTCCAGCAGAATTGCGCGTCCAATCTTCCGGGGAGTTCACTATGGACTTTCCATATGCATGTATGAAGATGTTGAATGTGGCAAACCCAATGCCATAAACCATCCCAAAAAATCACCAGAGATGGGTCCTATAAACCATCCCCAGTGGTAGATTTATGATTGGGCCGGGTTTCCCAGCGCACCAACTTAGGGCAAGCCAACCCTCCACTACCGGCACCATCGGCATTTGCCTCTCCCGTGATGGAAGACGATAATGATATACCAAAGCCACTGCCACAACCTGTGGCTGCGAGTGGCAGCAAGTGACAGCGATTGTGGCTTTTTTTGCATCGGAGATTGATACGAATTGAGGTCCATGCGGTTTGAAAACTGGATGATGTAAACTTCAGATTCATAAGAACACGCCATGGCCCTAAAAGTAATACTCTGCCATTGAAATGATATCCCCATAATGAAGCCAACCAGGAGTTTGCTACCGGAGTTGAGATTGCCAATTTTGCCAAGCGAGAGTTCGCTGGTTCAAAACTTGCCAGCATTGGCTAAGTGGTCGCAATTTTTGCTGAAGTTTGTTGAACATGCTGGGGTTTGCTGAACAGAACATTGAATATAAAATGAAACTTGAGGTTGGCCATATGCAAACCATCACCACAACTGTCGATTTTTATGGATGTTTTTTCAGTAAAAAGAATCCACGGAATCCACTGAGTTGGAGAACCTTTTTTTTCGGGAATCCACACTTTTGGACAATCCAAAATGTATGAGCTTCTTAACATGCCACTAATCCCTCACTATGTGCCACTAATCCCTCATGGAGCTTCAACACATGGACCTCGGTTGCATGTTGGACATCTAATCCCTCAGCTTCGCAGCCAATGATGGTGGATGTGGATGTCCCGCTGAACTGCTGGTCTTCTTGGCGAAGCGATCCTCCGGATGTGTCAGACAGGGATGCCGCTGGGAAATGTGCAACTGATCACTGGGCCATTTGGATCAACCATATGGTCCTATGGCTCAAAACCTTGGTACCCAGATGGTACCCTAAAATAACTGGCTAATGGATTCATATTCCCCCAGTCATATGGTAATTTCATAGGTTTAAACCCATCTCCATAACTATAAGGCACTGGTTGATGTGGTTGAACTGGGTGATTACTGTACATAAGGGTCACTGATGGGTTTTTGACCATATAGCTAAGCTCATGACTCATGGCCTATCTACTATCATCTAATCATCTAATCATCTACAAACAAATCTAATTCGAAATGTATTGCCCATACAACTGGTATCGCTGCTTCCTTGGTTTCAACTCTTAAACTTGCCGTAAGCAGTATCCCGACAGCAGGCATCCCCTATTTAAAGTTGGAACTGGAGTACAACAACCTACAAATGTACTACTCCAGTTAGGGTCCTTATCTGCACTTGTTGATTTTTTGTCCTCTTCAATGTCGCGAGCCCTGCTTCAATTCACCCAGCCTGCCCTCCCGCACCTGCATCCACCTTGCGACGCGAAGACATCGTTTCCTCAGGGGAGTTCAAGGCTACCACCCGAATGTCACCAAGCATCAAATCTGGATATACTGTGATATACTCTAATACAGAATCCCACTTGGCAATATCTAGCATTATCGTGTCATTTTCCCAAAATCACAGTAACAACCATGTAACAACCATGTTATGCTGCTTTGGTCGCTATAATTTGACTAGAGACAAGGCTGCAATGTGTTTGCGGAAAGCCGCAAGCTGAGCCCGAGACACGTCTCTCAGAGACACGGCCGAAGGGTCACCCTCGTGATAACGAATGAAGTCCTGAAAGAATTCCACAAATTTCTTGCTGCGTCTTGTTGCTGTGGAATTGATTCACCTCTATTTTTTGTCCTCTTGGATAGTAAAGGAATAGTAAATGTTGGTAATTTCCAGAGGACACCGAGAATGGAAGTCTTGTGTTGCAACATCCGTGGTTCGAAAGCGCCCATGGATACGATGGACCCCAGAGTCATGTTCCCAATGGTCTGTATCTATGGGAGTTGAGTGTCGTTCTCTAACCCCATTGGGGTTTATAATGGTTTATATATCTGAAAATCCCCAATGTGTGGTCACTTTAGTTGGAAAATGGCGCAACCATGGGATTTGGGGTTACCATATATATGGGGCTCCACTATATCACCCCTCGCCGGTCCTGCGCTAGGCCAAGGATGCTTGTCACCAGGACTTGTTCGCGATCGGGGGAGTCCGGCCAACAGTTTTGCACCTCAGGGTCGGAATTGGCTGTTGACGGCCCGACGGCAACGTTGACACTGGTGAGCCAGGAAATTGATACCCTAGGGTAAACTAACGATGTGGAAAACCTGGCTGGTTTCCCTTAGGAGAATGATTTACAATTGGTGGGAGAAACCACATCTAAATTAGTTTGCAGGATGCTTTGCTCAAGGTTGTCATTGCCAAAATACCATGGAGCGGATGTACATCTCTTCAGCCTTCTTCGTCAGAGCCTCAAAGGTGCTGTCGACACTGATCCCAGTGAGGAAGGGTATCCAAACATCGTGACGACCTTCATCATGTCGAAGCGCTAGAAGGCACCAGTACAGTAATAGTCTCTCGAGTTTGATTGATGGAAGAATGCTTCGCATCACTAAGTATAAATCTAAGTTATGAATTTGAGCTAAGCAAGGCTAAATATGAATCGGAGCATCACTTGGCTCCCCAGAAGCCAATGGATTCTGAGCTAGATCCTGGCGAATCATGGCGATTTTTCTTCATCTGAATTTCAGCCAATGTCTGGCTCGCCAATCCCCGAATTTTTGATAAGCCCTATGGTATTCAACATGTTGGGGATGCTTTTTTTACCATGAAAAATTGTTGATTTTTTCGGCGTTCGCATTCGCATCACCATGACACTCCAAAGTCAAAGAGGAAGTCATTGACCGTTTCCGGCACCGCATGGACTCGGTAGACCAAACTGCTCATCTCCTCCTGAGGGATTTATCAGTTCCCAGTTATATCTAAATAGCCATAGCAGTTATATCCCATCTGATGTTGAGGATATATAAGTCATATCCGCAGTTTTGAAGGTTCCTAGCTCCGTTTTTATTCTTGGTTCAACCAGCAAAACTTGAGGCGTCTAATTCCTTCAAACGTCACATGACAAACAAAGACTGTTTCTTCACAGCCCATCACATCGTCCTCAGCTCCACTTCCATAGACCAAACCAGTGGTCATAGCCGCCTGGTTCCCACCAGGAGATTCTGTACGGGGGCCAGTTCAAGTAGGGTGCTCCATGGGCCCATGGTTGGTGGTTTCAATGGGATAACCCAGTGAGGGGACAAACATACAGCTCGGTATGCAGCGAGGCAGCTCTGTCTGAAAATACGGCAAACGGCATTCCATTCCATGAATTTTTCATCCGTCAGAATCTACAGCAATCATTATATAAGTTGTATCAAATTGCCATAAAAATATCATAAAAATTGCCTTACTACCATGATATGTTTATGGCAATCAACCACCACGGTGGTAAAAGCTGGTAATACGCTCAATCTTTGGTAGGCCGAAAAAAGAGTAAAAACATGTAAAAACTGTTGCTGGTTATGGTTATTGTCCGGTAAAAGGTGGCAAATAATGAATCCCCGTTTTGGCACCTGTGGCCGCTTGCGCCGTGGATTCAAGGCCGCCAGAACTGTGACGCTCTCCGGTAGGGCACGGCCACCTGCGACCACCAAACATCGTTGGAAATCCAGAGGTAAAACTGGGAAAATGTGATAGAATCACATAGATGAAATTCGATGAAAATCGATGAAAATAGTGCGATTCCTTAATCAATGGATTTCTCACGGCTTATTTTTCGGATTCGGGAGGAGGGATTAATGAATAAACCACCCACTTTTGGTGGGTCTATCATGTTGAGCTCCCATTTGGAAGGAAGATGATGCACCCAAGCAAACTGACTGGAGTTCGAAGTGATTGGAGGAAAATAATTAATTACAATCATCCTCCCCAGCGTTTTGACCCATCCCCAAGAAACCCTACCCTTCCAGGAAGAACTACAGTAATACAAATGATTCACCTTTATCTGAAGCACTTGTGTAGGGTAGGGTTTACGCTTTCAATAATTCACCGAGACATTGGTTGAACTCAAAGTCCCTCCAGCCAGAGATCCAATGCATTCCAAGCAACGATATGACCGTTCCAATACGGCCTGGCCCAAGGTTCTTTCCCCCCTTTTGTTGGTTGGCAATAAATGGCGATTGACTTCAAATCTCATTTGCTGGATCCGTGTTCATCATCTTCCCACTAGTAACACTAGTATGCGGCAACCTTTTTCCTTGACGTCTGAGGTTGCTGATTTCATGGCCGATCGCTGTCATGCTATCAGAAGTTCACCTTTGACTGAGCACATCCCATTTCCATCCATACCCCCACAGCGCTCAAAAAAACACCCAAATTGCCATTGAATCGGGAAAATGCTTTTCTAGTGCCATTGGAATGGGGGTGTTCCCCTAAATTTTCAGACGGACCAAATGTTTATTTTGAGTAGGTGTTTTTTGGGGATCTACCCTCATAATCATGGCTAATATATAAAATGGCTATTTTCAGACGTAAGCCTCGCAGAGCATGTTCACGTGCTGTGACGTGTTGATCTCGTCCAGGAAAACCACCAAACCCTTGTGCGACATTGGGCGGTTTCACCAAACGCATGATGTCCATCTGATGTGTTGGATGTCGGTCTTTAACTCGCAAACATATATGCAAAATCATCGATTGGTTCGCTGACCAATCACTGGTTGATGTCCTTTTTGGGAACGATGGGCCGGTTTGGTATGATCACCTACGGGTTGACGATGGAGATGAAGCCTTTATTGATCAACCAATGGGATAAGGACATCTATGGGTGTTTGATATAGTTTATAACTCGCCAAGATTGGAGGGTTAACCAACCAACGTCAGCAAAACATAGCAAAACGAGGATCAGAAACCAATCAGATATTCTTGATGGGGTTCGGGTCCCGAGAAAATATCTGATGCTTGTGCCAAGCGTACGGTGTTCCAACTGCTACACTCCCAAATCTACAGAAAGCAACGTTATACGGGCCCCAGTTTTTTACATCCTCTGTACACTTCAGTTTGATAGACTTTCATATACATGTTTGTTCCGCACTTCGAATCTAAGAGGGCATCAAAACCAATCATAAGTTGGCCTATTGAATCCCCATCAACTCATCATACTTACAACATGTTATAACCATCAACTATGATAACTACCTATGTAATATAGTTGATGGTAGCTGAATCCTATAAGTAAAGTTGGTCTATATTCATGTAGTATCACTAACTACAGTTAGAAGTACCATCAACCCTCATGAATCCAGCTATTGGCGCCTTGGCCTCTTCCTCGGCCATCTTGCGAGCCTCTCGGAAAACCTGGTAGGATGACCATGTGTCCAAAAAAATGGATCTATGACCATAGTTTTAGTCCTTAAATTCATATGTCCATGTCCATCAATCATCATCATTCCAAAACTGTCCTAAACATATAATTGGGACAGAGTTGGGATACAAATGGGATGAAATGAATTGGGATGTATATATGTATATGCGTATATATGTATATGTGTATATGTGCATATATGTATACGTTTGTGTATATATATATACACATATATATTATCTCACCAACAACTTTATATATGATATTTTGGTGCTCAAAATGGAGATACCTCAAGTTATGCAGGGAAATATATATTGAAAAAACCAGAAACCATCAAGTTTATTCAAATTCCGGGAGGCATTAGTTTGAGACCAACGTAAATACATCCCATGTATGAGAGTTGGCATGGTGTAATGTTTTTCGCCCGCCCTGTCTTTGGGATTTCCAAGTGCTACCCAAAGACTTTCTCAGTGATTCGTTTTAGGGTTGCATTGGGAGTGCCTAAGCAAGCTCTTCTAAGATCATGCTAAGAGAGCTCCACACCCCAGAATGTATTCCAACTCTGGTCTATTCGCTACACATATTTATTAGATGTATATACACATTTTCGTCTGGTAGCAAATGACAATACCTGCAAGTACCTGCCTTTACCCAACTGTGCATTTCGTAAGAGTCTGATTGGAAATCCCATTGAGGGTTCGGAATTCGTGACGCAAAAACAGCTGGATAGCTTTCTCTGAGTCCGAGCATCCTTTCCATAGTCGCAAATAATTTGCATTAAAACCCCCAACCGAACCTGATTTCTTGGACCATGTTCGAAGTTTTCAGCGTTGTCTACCCATCATCCATTGGGTTTGGCCAGCCATAAGGTCGCTACCAATTTTCTGTAATTCCTGGGTTTATCCCAGAATGTCCCATGGGTTCCCATGAATTTGTTGGTGATTTCCCCTTCATTTCAATCGTTCAAAATCAACAAAAATCAATTGTTGTGGGGAATTCGACCTCTCTCTGGCAACCTTTCCGATTTGGAAGCCGCTCCTCCCGCCCAGCCCTGCCTGATCCATGTCTTCCTCAGTAGTGCCGCCGTGCACGTTGAGCGTCAGCAAGGGCAGTTTGGACCAGGCACAGAGATAGCGCACCAGCTCAGTCTTGCCACAGCCGCATTCACCCATGAGGATCCTACAATGGGGATCAGTGTCACCTCAAAACTTGGGTTTCGATCAACAAAAGAATGGTTATAAGTTACGAAAATGAGGGTTCAACCAACAAAATGGTGCCCACCAACACTGATCAACTACAAATATACCTGTGTCATGAGTCGTCACAACTGTAACGGGGCTGTAAATGTGGTTATAGATTGGTCTAATGTGGCAACAACATTCGGCCTGTGATGGAAAAACACTCAAATGGGGGGTCCATAAATGGAGGTACCCCAAAATCCCAAAATGGATGTTTTATGATTTAAAAAAAACATTGAAATGGATGATTTGGGGGTCCCCCCATTTATGGAAACCCTCAAATCAAATTTGGTTTAAATGGGGGGTCGAAATGATGGACTTTCCTTTGAGGTCACCAAACCCTAGACTTCACCAGCCAAGTGCCAGCCATCTGCAGCCCAGTTGAACACCAAGGATCACGGGCAGGCCACAACGCATGCGCACGAAAATTGCCAACATCTTCAGCACGGCATCTCCTCCAACGGACAAGCGAAGTTTTGAACCATTGATTATTCAAATGGGCAAATGTGCATATGTATATATGTACATATGCAAATATGTCAATATGTACATATGTATGTATGTAAATATGTAAACATTCATAGATTCACATACATACATACATACATACATACATACATACATACATACATACATACATACATACATACATACATACATACATACATACATACATACATACATACATACATACATACATACTACATACATACATACATACATATATACATACATACATACATACATACATACATACCATGCATACCATGCATACCATGCATACCATGCATACCATACATACCATACATACCATACATACCATACATACCATACATACCATACATACCATACATACCATACATACCATACATACCATACATACCATACATACCATACGTACCATACGTACCATACGTACCATACGTACCATACGTACCACACGTACCATACGTACCATACGTACCATACGTACCATACATACCATACATACCATACATACCATACATACCATACATACCATACATACAATACATACAATACATACAATACATACAATACATACAATACATACAATACATACAATACATACAATACATACAATACATACAACATACAATACATACAATACATACAATACATACAATACATACAATACATACAATACATACAATACATACAATACATACAATACATACAATACATACAATACATTACATTACATTACATTACACTACATTACATTACATTACATTACACTACACTACATTACATTACATTACATACATACAATACGTACAATACATACAAGACATACAATACATACAATACATACAATACATACAATACATTACATTACATTACACTACACTATATTACATTACATACATACATACATACAATACATACATTACATTAATTACATGACATTACATTACATTACATGACATGACATGACATTACATTACATTACATCAATTACATTGCATTACATTACATTACATTACACACATACATAGATACAATTACATACATACATACATACATACATATATATATACACACGCATTTATTCATACATGTACACATGTATACAGGTAAATATGCATATATATATATATATACACGCATGTATTCATATATGTACATATGTATACATGTAAACATGCATATATATATATATACGCATATATTCATATATGTACATATGTATACATGTATATATGCATATATGCATATATATATACACGCATAAATTCATATATGTACATATGATGCATGTATCTATGCATAAATATTTATATATACATACGCATATATTCATATATGTACATATGCATACATGTATATATATATATGCATATATATATATATATGTGTGTGTTTGTATTTTATGCAAATATCTATATATAAATATGTGTACATGCGTTTATATGTAAATGTGTTTATATATATATATGTGTGTGTGTGTGCGTGTGTGCGTGCTTAAAAACATGTGCAGACATCAACCCAATACATGTACACTGTTACACATGCATATATGTATATATGTTGATGTATATATGTTGATGTATACATGTATGTATATACATGTGCGTATATATGCATATATCTGTAAATGTAAATATTTGTGATTTCCAATTATGCACTTTCAACTTTCCATCCCATGTTGCCTTCAGGTCAACCGACCATATGAGCATGAGCCGCTGCAGGTGTCACGGCTTGGAAGCCGGGTTAGCGAGGAGCTCCACCAGAACTCTTGGCAATGCAGCCCTACATTCAAAACTTCGCCGATCTCTAATCTCTACTCTTTGCTTTGACCAAGCTGATGACCAGTGCTGGCGATCTGCAGGCAGCAGTCAGTTTGCCCGAGTAGTAAGGGGGGTGGATTTAAGATCTACTGCACGCAAGTGCGCATGGGTTCGAACCCCGTAGCTGACATGAGCGGCTGGTGTCACAGTGTAACAAAGCAATGCTTTACTCTGTCCTCTTCAAACAGGGTCTGCCTGAACGTCAGGCCTCTTCTTGTGGCCTCTTCTTGTCCTGCTTCAGGTCTTGTGCTGAGCAACGGAGGGGCGCAAGCAACACTAGCATTGTTGTGCAGCGCACTGCGCGGAGGAGCTTCTGCACGATTCCTGGCAACACAAAAAAAACAACAACAAGTGCGCACTGGCTGTCTGACAGAGCAAGGCTAGCATTGTTGTGCTGCGCGCGGAGCAGAGGAGCTCCACGAGAATTCTCAGCGCAGCCCCACACTCAAAACTTCACCGATCTCTAGTCTCTACTCTTTGCTTTGGCCATGCTGATGACCAGTGCTGGCGATCTGCAGGCAGCAGTCAGTTTGCCCGAGTGGTTAAGGGGGTGGACTTAAGATCCCCTGCGCACAAGTGTGACATGAGCGTCACAGTGTAAGAAAGCAATGCTTTGCTCTGTCCTCTTCAAACAGGGTCTGCCTGAACGCCAGGCCTTTTCTTCAGGCCTGTTCTTGTCCTGCTTCAGGTCTTGTGCTGAGCAAGGGAGGTGCGCAAGCAACTAAGCAAAAC